AAGATATAGTATAGGAAAGAAGACAAATATGAAGCAATTTTAATATCACACTTTAAGGGAAGACAGGGAATGTATACACCTGCGCCATTGTGATCGATTCTCAGACATGTCACCTAAAGTCTCCAACCATTGGTTATGATAGTCAGGCGGACCCCAACCAGGTAGTCTGCATCTGTCAACATGGCTCAGACTAGAAGTTAGTGACTTTAAACACTGATGCCATGTTTTGGTTTGGCCGCCCCTAACTCTCTTCCAACAATCCCCTACACTAGTAATCATAGCGCGTCGTGGTAAACGGTGTTCAGGCATACGTAACAACATTTGGCTCAACCATCTCAGTCGATAAAGATTCATGACCTTATCAACTGATTTACCATCATACCCTAATACCATGACAAAATCAGGAACAATATGCAGTATTGGGTCATTATAAGAGAACAGACAGATAGTTAACAATCTTCAACAAAACTATATATACTTGTGAGGTGAATGATGCTTCACGTAATCTTTAAAGCTATATCTCTTTCAGTGTTACATTCTGAGATGGAGCTATTTGAGTAAGAAATCATCCTCAGTAATAATATAAACTAGTTTTTATTGACAATTAAACAAAACACTATTTTTATTGATAAATCTTGTTGTTTTTAACGCCATACTTGGATTCTAAGCTAATCTCGTAACCCCCAAACTAGAACTACACAGTGACTTGAACACGAGAGAAAAGGCTCAAAAAATAGAAGAAGTAGTTTACTCTAAAGGTTTATTTATGTACACAAAATATAGGATATTTATAGTATTTTAGAAGTTATTGGATTATTCCGAAAATTCTAGAATGCTACTAAATATAGTCACAGTGTAGTAATCCGCCAACCAGGAATTCTACATGTGACTTCTAATCAAACACTGATTGGATAAAATCCTCTTTTATGTTTTCCTGAGCTCGTCATGTCTATTGAAAGAAATTTTCAAGATCGCCCCCAACATTTATCTTGTCTAAAAGTTTTCTTTTCTTACAAACGTTTATAACCTTAGCTTGTGTTAAGCAGAGATGGATAGTGGCTAGCAGTGGAATCCAGGACGCGCGTTTCGTCCTGTTTGGGACTCGTCAGCTGGATATACCTGCATCTCAGAGTTGATGTTCACTCTGGGACTCGAACCCAGTACCCTCGCTTCAAACGCCATCGCGTTATCCACTCGGCCACTGAGTCCTGATAGCCACTTGCTTGTGCGATGGGGTGAAGTTTGAATTCACTTGGTATTGTTTGTTTGGACCTTCCCATCGATGTGTTTAGGACTGCAACTGGTCAGTCTCTAATTGGCATATGTGCATACTGTGCGTATTGCCTCGATATACCTTAATTCACAAGCATGGTTAGCAGAGATGGATAGTGGCTAGCAGTGGAATCCAGGACGTGCGTTTCGTCCCATTTGGGACTCGTCAGCTGGATGTACCTGCATCTCAGAGTTGATGTTCACTCTGGGACTCGAACCGGGTACCTTTCGCTTCAAACGCCATCGCGTTATCCACTAGGCCAGTTGCAGTCCTAAACACATCGATGGGAAGATCCAAACAAACAATACTAAATGAATTCTTAGTTTGTGTTGTTATAATGAAATTTTTTACGAGATAAGGTCTCTAACCCCATGCCCAATCCTCATCCTTTACCTGATCTTAAGACGGGCAGTAACTTTAGACGAGCTACAGGCGGAGTTATCATAAAATTTGTGTGTGTGTTTTTGTTGTGTTTTTTTCTCTTAAGACAATCATTCTTGTCAAAATGGCTTCTTCCTTCTTTTTTTATATTTTTACTTACCTAGTAGATTTATTATGATATTTGAGTGAATAACAATTTAGTTTTCTTGTTATTCCTTCACATTAATCCCTCCTGTAATTCTGTAATTTGTTTTGTTTTTGTTTTAACTAATCACAAGTTTAAATATTGTGAATGATCGTTAAAATTGTTCGATTTTTTTCCCTTTTTTTTGGGTAACTTCAATACATCTAATCACAATTATAAATTCCGTTGTTGCTGTGGTTGTTGTTACCATGGTTGTTTGCTTTCTCTCTTTTTTTTGTAACTTAATTTGTCTCAATTGTTTTTTGTTTATCTAATTTATAAAAAATAGAACGATAAACAGAATATGTAAGTTGTTGTTTGTTTTGTTTTGATGGAACATATTCTCTGTTGTTGTTTTTTTAATAAAAAAGAAACGGTTGTCAAATTGTGTTCCCCAAGTTGACCGTGTTACTTAGTAAAAGTATTCAATCGTTTTTTTTTAGTTTTTTTTTGGAAGTGATTCAGATTGAAATTAGATTTTCTTGTTTGAAATTATGACACCAGAAAACTATGATTTGTTATTTTATGGTTGAAGCTAGACCACCATGGAATACCTGGAAACACTGGACGGCCGTTTCGTCCTATTATGGGACTCCTCAGCAGTGCGCATCCATGATCCCGCCCCACGAGGTTCGAACCCAGGACCTACCAGTCTCACGCCAGAGCACTTACCACTAGACCACTGAACCGTCTGATATCCAACAGTTTCAATGTCTAACTTCAATATATCTATAAAATCGAACAACCATTCACCAATATCTTCAGTGAGTTACTATCTCCCAACAGACGTGGTTGAACTCCACTGCTCACTACTTCTCATTAGAACTCCAGGAAATACCTCTTGAAGCCAGTCACTAGTGATCATATGATCATTATCAGAAAGGGTTTTTGTGGAGATTTCAGTAATTTTATATAGTTGAAATCATGGGTCAATTAAAGCTAGACCACTATGGATCATGGATGCGTACTGCTAAGGAGTGAGTCCGTTAATAGGATGAAACGGTCTTCCAGTGCTTCCAGGTTTCCCATAGTGGTCTATCTTCAATGGACTTATGATTTCATTGTGAATAATACTTATTCATTTAACTTTCTAAAGTTAATAAATTTAAAATTTGGAAACATCCGATGACCATTTTTGTTCTAGTATAAGACTCTTCGGTAATGTATTTTCATAATCATGTAATCAGTAATCAAACGTTTTACCTCTAAACAAATGAACTGAAATCCAATGGTGTACAGGTGTAAAATTTGTTATCAGGATTCACCAAGAAGTAAGGAAAAGAAACTTGTTGAAATACTTTATGCTGAGAATTCTATATTGTGCCGTAATGATGATATTGAATAAAGCCACTAATAATCATAATAGCCCATTTGTCTAATACTTTTTTGTCGTTTACTATTTGTTTAACCAATGTCAGTATATTATGAATATCATTCACGTATGAAAACTAATCTCCTATCTTAAGTCAGTTAACTACTAAAATTCGACTTAGTCAATATCTACATGTAAATTATCCATTAATCCTTGTTATTCACTTAGCAACAAATTATTTTCCAAAATGTACTTGACATTCATTTTTCTTGTACAATGAACAGAATGTATCCATTTAGTTGTTTTACTTATTTCTTCCCTTTTCAGGGGGAGGGGAGGGAAAAATGAATCAATATATCATCATGTCAAAGAGTGAAATATCTGTCATATTATACAACTTTATTTGTTATTTCCCTGTTTTGTATTCTTGTTTATACTACTTAACTAAGTAGTAGTTGTTATTAATTACTTAAAAATTACAAATAACATCCTTAATGGCTAATCGTTATGATAAAAATACAAAGAATCTTTCGGCAAACAAATAAAGTATATTAGTATTACATCTACATAAATCAATCAATTTAATATTCTATTCACCATTGAACTCTAAATCATAATAATGAGTTATGAACATGATTGTCCTGGGTTCGAATCTCGCTCGCTAGGCGTGATCGTGGATGCGCATTGGTGATAAGTCACACAATAGAATGAAATGGGCGTTCAGTGCTTACAGATTTCCCATGGCGATCTAGCTTCAATTGACTCATTATTTCAACTCTAATAAAAATAACTATAATCTCCAAAAAATCCCTTTTCTGAAAATGTATATTCCCCTATTTTTTTTGAATAAGATTTACTTATTTCAAGGTTATGGCTAATTGATTTTTCTGTGTAGAACACAAAGGAATTTTAGCACGCACACACACACAAATATGCACACAATTACATCTATATATACATGAACAAATAGGAAGAGAGAATATGAAAAATAAATTATGGAATGAAATTTATTGTAAGGTGTAATTTATTAGTTTTGTTCTTTTTTTTGGTTACAAAATTTACATTCGTTATGTTATCACATTATAGATTACCAATTGGTGTGTGTGTGTGTGTAGAAAAACATGTGATTACATAATGATTTATAAACATATCCATAGTAATCACTCGAATGTGATATTATGCATGTCTGCCTATGTGCACTTTGATGCGAACGAGATATCGTTAGATTTTTAGGTCAATTTACTTAAACTACTTAATAATAATTTAGTAAGTAGATTAACTATTCTCAAACATTTTTGAAATGTCATTGAAGAGTAATGTTAAATGATGTGATATTAAGAAAGATGGTGTGTGACTGTTGGAGAATATCACCCATGCATAAGAAGTTATGTATAATGTTAACTGGTCCATAAATTTACACATCTTGAAACCATCTAATAACTCATGTTTATTAAATAGATATTTCAATAGTTGATTTCATGAATCGATCTAAGCTAGAGCATCATTGAAAACCTGGAAGCACTAGACGACCGTTTCTTCCCATCGCAGAACTCCTCAGCAGTGCGCATCCACGACCCCGCCTTACGAGATTAAAACCTAGGAACTACCAGTCTAACACCACTGAACCGGCATCCAACGGTATCAATTTCTAACTTCAACCAATCCACGAAGTTGAGCAACCGTTCACTAGTTATCTTCCAGGTTTTCCCTGGTAACGTAGCTTCAATTCACTTACGCTTTCAACTATGAAAATACTGAAATCTTTACAAAAAACCCCTTTTGATCTTTCAGTTTTTCATACTTTTTCCCATCAGTTATTATATTATTATATTTTTTATTTTCTTTGATAGAATATGTCATCAACTCATTCAAATAGATCAACACCAATATCAAGAACAACTAGCACTACCACTACTACTAAAACAACAACCACAACAGCCTATTCCTATGAACATCCTGATAAAGAATCATTAGCTGCAACAAAAATTCAAGCTGGTTATCGTGGTTATTGTACACGTAAAAAATATGGTAATTTATCATTGAATTCATCATTACCATCATCAAATTATCATTTAACATCTAATAGACAATCATATACGACACATCAATCACCATTAAGAAACAATAACAATAATAATGATCATAATTTAGAGAATGCAGCTACACGGATACAAGCTAGTTACCGTGGTTATTTAACTAGGAAAGCATTACGTGATAATGATGATAATATTACACAAAAACAATATACACCAATCAAAAATGTTCCCTATTATCCTAATGATAAAACCAATATTGATCATAATATTGATCATAATATTGATGATGATGATGGGAAAGTGAAAGCAGTAACTAAAATTCAAGCTGGTTATCGTGGTTATAAAACAAGAAAATCATTAGCACCATTATTAAATCATCATCATCATCATAATAATAATAATAATAATCAACATCATTTAATATCAAATAAAGAAAATCAAAATTATTTAGACTATAAAAGCATCCATCAAGAAAGGGATAACAGTAATAATAATACCCATAATCTGTATGATCCTGAATTAGCTGCAACTAAAATACAAGCAACATTTCGTGGTTATAGAACTAGACGACATTTACCTAAATAATGATAATCATATAAATACATATATACATGCATACCTAAGTATTCATTCAAATGAATGCATACTTTTCGTATATCTTTCTTTATAATTGAATATAGATAAATCATCTCTCATGTTACTTCTCTTAGACTGTCAACATCAATAACACAAAGAATTGAATTGATGTCATTGACATCTTCAAAAATTAATACTGATCAACATTTGCATGCTTATTTTAATTATATTTCTTCTTATTTTATACTTTTTTTTCTTATTTCAATTTCATTTCATCTATTTAAAAGAAAACGATGTATTCATTATTATCCATGATAATAAGACATTGTATACAATGATATTCGTTTGCCCAACTCATCAATCAATCAATCATTTCATTTATCTAGTTGAAATGTAACAAAAAACCTTTGACAATGTAATAGTTAGACATTCAATTTGTAATGGAGTTCCCTTTTTTTTCGTTTTCTTTTTTTTTTTTTGTTTAAATCAATATAATGATCTCAATATTTGAAAAAAATAAAAATCATGATGTGTATAACATCATAAAAGTTTTAAATTATTTGTTATTTCTTTTATATAGTTGAGATGATAAGTCAATTGAAGCTAGATCACTATGAAAAATCTGGAAACACTGGATGATAGCTTCGTCCTAGAGTGGGATTCCGTTCAGTGCTTCTAGGTTTTCTATGGTGGTCTAGCTTCAACAGATTCATCATTTCAACTATTGAGATTACTATAATATCCACAAAACCCCCTTCTGTTAATGATCATATGTTCACTAGTCATTGACTTCAAGAGGTATTTCGTGAAGCTTTAGTGAGAAGCAGTAACCAGTGGAGTTCAACCTGGTCTGTAGTGAGATATCAACTCACTGAAGACATTGTTGATTGGTGATGCAATTTCATGGATATGTTGAACTTAGACATTAACACCATCGGATGCCGGCCGTCTCAGTGGTCTAGTGGTTAAGCGCTCGCGCGCGAGACTGATAGGTTCTGGGTTAGGATGTCGCGAGGCGAGGTCGTGGATGCGCACTGTTGAGGAGTCCCATGCTTGGACAAAACGACTGTCCAGTTTCAACTATAAAAAATTTATTATAATCTCCACAAAACCCTCTTTTGATATGATATAATTGACAAAATATTCACAGGAATCCATTGAATTCTTTTACGGTAATGAAATTATTATCAATTTTTAAAACAATCAAAAGAAAGTAATTATCATATTTCAATGAAAAAAATCTTTATAATGAACTCTGATAATTTAATTATCAAATAATTTTTCATCTGTTTATCGATAAGCAAAGATGGATAGTGGCTAGCAGTGTATTCCACGACACACGTTTCGTCCTATTTGGGACTCATCAGCTGATGTTCACTCTGGGACTCGAACCCAGTGCCTTTCGCTTCAAATACCACCACGTTATCCGCTCAGCTACTGATTCCTGATAGCCACTTGCTTGTGCAATGGGGTGAAGTTTAAATTCAATTAGTATTGTTTGTTTGAATCTTCTCATTGATGTTTTTAGGACTGCAATTGATCAATCCATCTTTGCTTATAATGCTTGTGAATTAAGGCTATATCGAGACAATAAACACAGTATGCACATATGGCCAATAAGAGACTGATCAATTGCAATCCTAAACATCAATGAGAAGATTCGAACAAGTAATATTGAGTAAAGTGTTTATCAACATTTATGAGATTGATCAAGTTTTGATTACGTAATATAATGAATTATATTCTTATACTGTAATATCCTCTCATCCTTATCTAACTATTACTATTATTTTCTTTATTAATTGTATTAAATTTCCAAAGTTACATGTGATTTAATCATAGATATTATATTAGTAGGATGTAAATATTTCTCATATTTTATTTTAGTCGCTTGTGAAATTTCAACAGTTCATTGTTTATTAAAAAGTGTAAGAGTATTTTATGAAGATTGTAGTATTTTCATAGTAAAAATCCCGAACTGATCTTAGCCAGATGATTAATGAAAAAACTTGAAGTACTGAATGTCCATTTCGTCTAAACATGAGACTCCCCAGAAGTGCGTACCGAACCCAGAACATTCGGTCTTGCGCGAGAACGATCAACCTATAAACCACTGAGCTTGAGTCCAACGCTGTTAATGTTTAACTTCAGTCAATCCATAATATCGTGCAGTCTTCATACATTTCCTTAGGTGGATAACTGTTTGACGCCCGAAGTAGATCGACCTACACTGATCACGGCTTCTAACCAGAACTCTAGGAGTTATGTCCTAAAGCTAGTCACTAGTGAGAACTTGATTGTTATTAGTAACACATATTTGTGGATACTGTATTTTCACAATTAAAATTACAAACAGTCTCATACAAAGAAGAAACGACCGTCAAATGATATGATGTTGTTTCATTATACACTAGTTTCCTATTGATGGATGCTTAGGACTAATTATTCGCTTACTAGAGAACGACAATACTTCATCTGATAGATGTCCTATAGGCATTAGTCTAATCATGAAATCCTTAAAACTTTGCTTAGATTCGACACTATTTACCTTTTAACGGGACATCATACAAACGAACTAACAGTGTAGCAATGAAATCCCCCGTGTTCTCTAACGTAACTAACCTGTTTGCGGCACATATAGGATCTAATATTACCGCCAATAACATTAAACTGTGAACTTGGCTTAGATATGTAGATGATACCTTTGTTGTTATAAAAAAAGACTCATCTAAGATCTTTTACGAAACGCATCAATACAATTTCATCTCACATCAAACTTACGAACGACAATTAACATGGTGAGCTACTATTCTTAGATTACTTAGTAAAAAGAAATCTAAATGGAATTCTAAATCTATCCATCTACCTAAGGCCTGCACACTCAAATCGCTATATTGACTTCCATTAAGCACATACATTCAGTGCAAAGATCTCGGTAGTCCTAAATCTTATTAGAAGAGCCAACAAGATCATCACACAGAAAGAGGATAACAAAAGCATGTAATTGACATCTTACAAGTTAATAATCTTCCAATGAAGATTATTAGAAGTACATTAAAACGAGACCTTTCACTGCTAAATAATAACTCGGATGAAACACCATGGGTTTTTACTACAGTTTTACCATACCGTCATAGTACAACAGAACTCCAAAGGATCTTAAAACAACACAGAATTAGAGTATATAACAAAAAAAACGAACACTTCGAAATTCTTTAGTTCGATTTAAAGAAAAAATCCCATTCACGTCTATACAGAACTCTGTCTACAAATTAGGGTAAGTCGATTGTGATCCCTTCTTTATTGGAGTCATCACGTGAAATCTTGACTCGTGCCAAAGAACATATGCATATACGTATACAAAGGAACCACCTAATGATCCCGTAGAACTGAATAGACTTCAAATTAAATCAGCAATAGCAGTTCACGCCATTTTTAACGACCACCAAATCGATTACAAAAAGGTTTATCCAACTACAAAGAAAGGAGAGTAGTTGGAGCGTTCCATATGATGCTTAATCCGACCTGGATTATTTATCCAAGTTCACATGTATGATATTATTCACACTATTTTAGTGCATACAAATTAACCTCTATCCTTTCGCATTACAAATTTCATCCCTGACTTCGCATGCATACACATACACAAATTCGCATACATGTCGCTTATAAATCACCTTGAACGAAATGATATGACATTGTGTTGGAGATGTCAAATCCCCAGAACTTACTTGATAAGTGGCTTAATTTTGTAATTTTATTTTGGAAATTTGAATTTAGCTGTTTTCCCGCCAAACGCGCTCTTTTTACCTTCACATCATATTTCCCACTTGTAACTGTCTTACAGCCATTGTTTCTGTGTGTGTGCTATTTATTAATGATGCCCAAGGACAATCTGCTGCTGTATATATACGCTTGACTTTTTCCCTTGTTGGATTTCTGTGCTTCTGGCTGCTACGGAATAAAACTTCCCCGCTTCTAACTTGGACTTCTTACTCTAGTTAGCTGGGTCGCGTCAGAATAGCTAGCTTATCGGTCCCTAGTCACAAGTCTTTGTTCCGTTCGCTACTAGTGAATTCGTAACGCTTCAGATATAACACAATGACTTGTTCAGACCTGCCTTTTGATTGATGACACATAATATTCTTGTGTCGTTCCTTTGTACCATTTAAACTTGGATTAATTTTGATTTGATTATTTGTTCTCTGAAGTCACGAATGTTAGAAAATTCAATTTTTCTACTCATTGGGAGATCTACAACTGCATTAATTTTATTTATAACAATCTACCCAATGGTCAATTTATTCGAAATTATCAAGTCAAACCTTGATAATGATACCTACAAACTCCGATGGAAATAAGCAAAGATGGATAGTGGCTAGCAGTGTATTCCACGACACACGTTTCGTCCTATTCGAGATTCGTCAGCTGGATGTACCTACATCTCAGAGTGGATGTTCACTTTGGGACTCAAACTCAGTACCTTTCGCTTCAAATACCATCACGTTATCCGCTCAGCTACTGAGCCACTTGCTTGTGCAATAGAGTGAAGTTTAAATTCACTTGGTATTATTTGTCAGAATCTTCTCATTGATGTTTAGGACTGCATACCGTGAGTAATGCCTCGATATAGCCAATACGAGACTGATCAATAGCAATCCCAAAACATCAATGGGAAGATTGAAACAAACAATATCGAATGAATTCACAAAGAAATAGTTCAAATTCAACGCTTATTATACTTTTTAAAAGAAGACAAAATATAACCAGAATATAATATGGTGGAATTTCACTATCTAATCTTGTTATCGACATTTTATAGTTCATTCATCATTGTTTGTCGATTATGATTATAATACGTTCAATTCATTAGGGAGGAAGACATTTCAACAAAGAAAACTTTCTTCCTGACAATGTTATTTTCTGAAGCTGTACAATCGTATTTATAAATAATTATGCAACATCAATTCAGTTGAATGAACTTTCACTTGAAAAAGTTTGACTATCTTTAATAATTTTGTACCATAAAAAATGACACGTAAGAAAAAGAAATTCTTCATCATTTTTTAACACCGTTGGGTGCCGGCCGGCTCAGTTGTATATCGGTTAAGTGCTCTGGCGCGAGACGGGTAGGTTCTATGTTCGAGTCTGGTGAGGTGGGATCGTGGATGCGCACTGCTGAAAAGTCTCACAATAAGATAAAACGGCCTTCCAATGCTTCCAGGTTTTCCATAGTGGTCTAGCTTCAATTGAGTCATAATTTCAACTATTAAAATTAGGTCAATTGTTGATGAAATAGCCGGAAATCCCACATACAATTATTTATGATGTGGTCAAAAATTCGTGTAAATTTCTAGATCTATTTTATAACCTTACAGAATTAGCATCAATTGACTCATGATTACAAGTATAAGAATTACAAGTGTTCATTACAATAATAATTAATATATTCTTAAGCTTCATAACATACAAGAATGTGAAGAAGATTAGTCCTATAATTGTTCACACGTAAATTGATAGTCAAGTCAGAGTTCATGGAAAATTATCATACAGACTGAATAAATCTTTAACATTTTCTCTCTCACTTAACATTGTCAGAGACATTCGTTAAAACTAATTCCCTGGTAATTAACAAATATAGGAGATATTCGTAGGTTCCTCATATTCGACCATAGCTGCCTTTTATGTACTGCTGAAGTATGTTGTAAATATTGATTGAGCAATAATGGTTTCACAAAGGCTACTAGGTAACGATAGAAAGTCAATTGACGAAACCGAGATGGTTAGATTATATATGTATATTCCATGACAACCTACTTTGAGGGGCAATGTTGTCTCATGCAGAAATAGTCTGGGAGAGTTAGGAGTGCCCAAATAAAGAAGCGACATCAGTTCATTAAGTCATTGAATGTTGGACTGAGACATGTGGATGAGTACAAACTGCACCACTGTGGTTCACGAGATTATCTTAAGCAGTGGTTCGAGATCTTGATTGATATGGTATAAAATACATCAGAATGGCTCAGATGCATTCACTTTCTATTTTCCAATGAGATGTAAAATTTTATACATTTTAGTATCACAAATTGATTCTTCCATTTCAATTCATAACTTCTCAGTCAGCTACAACGTAGGACCAGGCACATTCATGCATCGTTCCAACTTGCTATATCTCGTTAGCACAACAAGATGAACACCAAATTCATAGAAGTAGTTAATTTAGTGGTGGTAATATATAAAAGATAGATTGTATATAAGGATATAGTATAGGGAAGAAGACAAATATGAAGCAATTTTAATATCACACTTTAAGGGAAGACAGGGAATGTATACACCTGCGCCATTGTGATCGATTCTCAGACATGTCACCTAAAGTCTCCAACCATTGGTTATGATAGTCAGGCGGACCCCAACCATGTAATCTGCATCTACCAACATGGCTGAGACTAGAAGTTAGTGACTTCAAGCACTGATGTCACTTTTTGGTTTGGCTAACCCTAACTCTCTTCCAACCATCCCCAATACTAGTCAGCATAGAGTGTTGTGGTAATCGGTGTTCAAGCGTACGTAACAATATGTGACCGAACCATCTCATAACTTCTATGACTAGTTTTTTCTACTAACACTAATACTATTACTACTTTTACAACTCAAGCATTTAGCTGTGATTTGACAACTTGAGCTCATAAACTAATATGCCAGATTCTGCATTATATATAACTGGGTACACTCTATTGTATTTGAGAAGAGAGAGAAAAAAAAAGAGAAAATTAAATTAAAATAAGACATAATGACTGAAATAGTGTTATTCTCTTTCCGAGGAAATAGTGTTTATATATATATATATATATATATATATATATATATATATATATATATATATATATATCAATATATGCATTATATCTACATTTAAATAATAAAAAAAATGAAGAGAGAGAGAGAGAGGGAGGGAGAATGGGTGTCGAAAATATCCGATTCACTGAGTAATTGTTGTTGTCTTAGTTTATTAAAACAATAAAATAATAATAATAACAACAATAATAGTATATAAATAAATAATAATAATAATAATAAAAAAGCCTGAAGAGATCTAGACAGAGATAGATGGATGTATGTATACTTATTGACTGACTGACTGATTTCATATGTGTCTCCATAATGGTAATATATTTTGTGAGTAGTATTAATATTAAAACTAGAAGGGGGAAGAGAAAGATAATTCAAGCGCGCACATAGTGTGTGTGTGTGTGAACAACAATAAAGGGAAAAACAAACAAACAAACAAACAAACAAAACACCATCCCCCTCTATAGTTAAGCACATACTGTGAGTTAGAGATTTTAAATAAAAATTTTTTAAAAAAAAAAGTAAGTGACAACAAGTTTACATTTTCATTGTCCATCCCTGTTTTATGAATAATTTAATGCATAATATATATCAAATACTAACAATCACAAATTAGCCTGATAGATAGATAAGAGATAATGTACAATATACAATATATATATGTGAATGTAAATTATTAAAAAAAAAGGGGAAAAAAAGGAAGTGAACGCGTAAAACACCCTTTTAAGGAACACAAACATATTGAATTTGTGTTGTACTGTGTCGATCGATATACAGACCATCAATGAATTGCTCAAAAAAGGATATGACAAAAATAAACACAAAGATTACGAGGCGGGGGGAGGAGAGAAAAAATTAAGAAAACAAGAAAGAAAAAATTTGAACAGGAGAGAGAGATGGCGCTCTACTGTAATAATAATAATAATAATAATAATAATAATAATAATAATAATATAATCGTAAAAGTAATATTGACATGTATAATAAATAGAAAAGTTAAAAAAAATAACAAGTTAAAAGATGATCATGAAGGCGCATATTGTAAAAGTGATACATTTTCAGGGCTGCTTTCACCAATACGACTATTACTATTACTACTACTAATGTTACTCGTAAAAACACTCTTTGTGTAGACAGCAAACAATGTTTTCTTTTCAATGGTAATCAAGGTGGAAGAAGAAGAAGAAACAATAATGAAAAAAAGGCGCAAAAATAATAGAGTTGAATTATAGAAGAAAACAATGGCAAAATAGGCTACTAACACCCTGACAATTGCATATAAAAAAAAATGATTACAAATACATTCATCAATAAATAAAGAGAGGAAAATAACAAATTATATCTATGATCATTAATATACAAAAGATTTTTTTAATTAAAATAAAAAAAGCAAAACAAAAGAGAATGGAAACAGAGTCTTAGTAACAATTATTATTATTATAGACGTATTCATTAGAAATAATAACCAATCATATGATAACTGTGTGTACAAATGAATAAGTAATATATAGGATAGGTTAGGCAGGTGGTGATAGGAACAATAGTGCAACAATATAAACACATACACATACACACACATTACATACACCCCATAGAAAGTAGGAACTCAAAAATTCTGGAATGAAAAAAAAACAGATAAACCACAGAAACTTTACTTTCATCTAATTATCTTTTTTTGCTTTCTAATCAGAAAAATAAACGTCAAATTTGATCCATATGCATCTTTAAACATTTACTAGTACATCCTTGAGTATATATATATATATATATATATGTGTGTGTGTGTGGTATTTACTCTATTCACCATTGTAGAACAATAAAGATGCTTATACAAACACGATCGAAAAACAGAGAGAAAATGTTTACCGATTACACAAAATAACAAAATTCAATCGATACAAATAGATCTCCATCAATAAATGATGATGATCATGATGACCAACAACAGAATTGTATTTACCAATACAGCACAGAGATACATACATATATATATATGTAATCAAAATAAGGATGAAAGAAAGAAATGTAAGCGAAATACAATTCAGTCATAATGGATGGGGTATTCCTTTTTATTACAGAAGAAGAATGATAAGAAAGGAACCATTCTGTCATACAATACCACATACATTGAAAATAATCACTTACAATCGATAAGAAGTCGAGAGAGAGAAATGTCTAGAGAAAAAATACTTTTTTTATTTTTGGAGAAAAAACAACAACAAAATCGATCATTTTTTTAATCAGTCATTGTCCAGATAAACAGACATGTAGTCAGGCAAATAAACGGGATAAATAGAGGAACAGACGGAAGATAACAACGAATAAGAGTAAAATAAACTTTATACATTACCACTTCGAACGATAGAGAAAGAGAGAGGAAACAGTGTAAACTATTCTGAAGAAGAAGGAAAACACCAGGCTTCAAAACGCCAGTCAAAGAATTTTTTTTGGCAGAAATCAACAAAATGACAAAGAAGAGTAAACAATGAAAGACAAACAGACACATACACAAAAATAAAATAGATATGATTTATTAAAAGAGACAGAAACAAAGACAAGATTAAAAGATAGAAACAATTAGAGGGAAAAATTAAGACAACAAAGCATTTACAAAACAATCAATTCATTTGAATATTGACAACAACAACGACGACAAAAAATCACAAAACTGTCGTATCAACGAAGGAGAACAGAGAGTGAGTTTAGCCTTGAACAGTGATATCTCTGCATATGACACCAAATATATTGTAACTACAAGAGTGAGTATATGAAAAAAAAATCCAGAATAAAGACATCAACAGAAGATGTGTACATAGATTTGGTGCCCAAACTGGGGCGTAACACACAAAGACAAATAAGACCTGATTATATGTGGTATGTTTAATTTTTTTACTAGAACAGTAAATGAGATCAACCAATTAGTTAAGCAGCTGGAAATACAATAAAATATTGCTATCACCTGGACAAAAGAGAAGCAAACACAATCTCTATGCAATCTTGTAATGCACTATAAACACACAAAAAAATCTTGTTATCAAAACATTTGTTTATGTATAACAGTAATAGTAAATGTATTGAGTAATAATAATAATAATAAAATATATCCTGAATGTTTGTATGTATGTATGTGTGTGTAAGAGAGAGAGAGTGGGTGGGTGTACATCTTGTATACTACTTAATAGTAGTGTGTAAATTGCAGAATAGAAGTTACAAAAGATAAATAACTAAGGCAACTTGATTTCATTGACAAAGTATCAGCTGATACACACGCACGAGCACAATCAACGCCATTTAAAATACAGGAACACAAAACATATGTATACACATTTAATGTATGTATGTTTGAAAACATCATTACACTGGTCATTCTATTTAGTAATAGTAGTAGTAGTAGTAGCAGTAGTAGTACTGATATTATGAATTATCTGTACCCCCCCCATAGTATATTTTCATTGTCGACACAGTCAATGCAACTGAATACAACTGATATTAAGAAATAATAATAATAATAATAATAATAATAACTCATAAGAAAGATATCTTATTGGAAAACAGGGAAACATCAAAGAAGTAACAAGGGGGAGACCTGATAGACGAATAAGCATGGTTGTTGATGTGGATGGATGCCAAAAAAAAGGAAAGAATAAAAATAAAAGTATATATGATGTGCAAGATTGATTTCTTGTTTTTTTTTTTCGACACCATTCAATGATGACTTTGAATACAAAGAAGTAGAAGAAGAAGAAGAAGAATGTTGATTTTATGAAAAATAATAATTATAGAAGTAATATTTAAAAAAATGATCAATTCTCTTACAGCTATTGTATATATAATAATATAAATGAGAGGGGGTATGATTTAGGATGGAGAGAGGGAGGTGTATACAAATAAAAAAATAATTAATTAATTAATATGGCAATTATTTATAATGTAAAGGTTCTAATATTTAGTTCGATAGAAGAAAATAAATAAAAAATATGTGTGCATGCACTGTTGTTGTTGTTGTTGTTTTAATGATCGTTGCTGATGTTGATTTATTTCTTAAATTAAATAACCAAACAAACAACAACATACTGATGACACTACCTTGTAACAACGACAATAACTGCAGCACCAAAAGTATTAGTAGTAGTCGAACATTCATTTGTAGCATTCAATATTGAAGGGGACGACAATCTTGATGATGACGTGGATAGTTCAACATTACTATTATTCAATTGAGGTTGTTGTTGTTGTTGTTTATTAGTGACTGGTGGTGTATCCACAGTTAAATACCGCAATTCATTTGTTGTTGAATTATGATGATGATATTCACGTTGTTGTTTAGTTGCAATCATAATCTCAACTAATAAGCAAAAAAACAAAGACAACAAGTGACGCTACGAAAAATAAACAAACTACAAGAATACCGCTAACATGATAGACTATAATACAATATTTTTTATAGAATGGCTGTAAATTTGACATCACCACCATCATCATTATCACCATCCAAGGATTTCTGCAATCCAAGTAATTCATATAGAGTGATTGGGAATAAACGTCAGGAAGACCCATATAATCTCTTGCGTTTCATGTGGAATCATCATGAAAAGTGGAACAGTGACAGTAAAACATGAGTAGATGGTCATACAATTGATGAGCTTGACCTCTGTGGACGTTCTAGGAAGTTTTAAATTTATAACAACTTAGATTATAGGTAGATTGTTTTTCCTAAGAAGTGTATATATATTCGCATAGGATAAGATTGATAAACTTTAACATTTTGTGAAACTAACATATATCTAAATTCGGTTGATGGATTTCTTGAAAAACAACTACGTACGTGTACTGAGAATGAATATAGTTTAAAATAGATTCCAACACATATACACACACAAAGCAGACATTAACACTTACGATCGAATACATCGTTGATTAGATCATCTGGTAATAAATTCTCTTCATTTTGTTGTTGATATTGGTGTTTATAATTTGACTGTAACATTGATTCTAAATGAGGATCAATAATTGTAGTAACAGGAGTATCCTGAGATGTATGATTATAATTATAAGATATTGTTGATGAATTAGACGTTGTTGATAGATTTCTGTGAAAAGTTGGATAACTTGAATAATTATTGAAACAACAATCGAATGATCCATTTGTTGAATTTATTTCATAATAATTATTAACTAAAGTGTCCAATGAAGATGATGATTTGGAATAGGGTAACTCTATAGATTGTTGACATGCAGACGGTGGTAGTGGTGGTGGTGGTGACTTAAGGTAACCAGATGTAGTACTGGAACTTGGGGAAGTATTTGCTGATACACTGATTGGTGATAAACTATTACATGGTGTTAAGGGATAAACAATATTTGAATGATTTATCATCAATGTATTATTATTATTACAATACGATGAATCATTTCGTGTTAAGTAATTAGATGTATCAATTTTATGATTATTGTTGGTTTTATTTGGAAAAACCTGAGAACGATAACTATGAGCTAAATGAACTGATTGGGGATAAACAGTATTATTACACAAAGATATATTATCGAAGTCAGAATTGACTTTCTGATGTTGTACAAAAACAGGTTGAGGTAAAGACCATTCAGGAAAGTGAACTGAATCCATAGGACTTTCAATACAAGATATATTAGAATATGCACTCTCATTGTGTGCCATCAAACTACTAGATGGTACCCTTGAGACATATGACAATGAGGAAACGGAAGAGGTGGCGGCTGGAGAGGATTGATCAACTTCAGTTGAAGAACAAGCTTGATAAGTAGTAGTTGGGAGAGAGTCATCGGAGAATTTGTTAGATACCTGAGAGCATTTAAAACTACTATGATTATTATCAGTAGTAATAATAGTAGTAGTAGCAGGAACAACAGAATCATTTTGATGGATACCCTGAAGATCGACTAATCCTTGATGTAGTTCCGTTTTAAATAGACAACTGTAATATAAATGAAAAGGGAAAGAAAAACAATGAAGACAACCAACATGTAAACTATTTGTTGAATAAACCATGATATCTACAAAAATGTACCGTACTTTTATAGGATCGAATTGATAATTAACAGTATTATTAATGATTTTTATAATGAACCTACATTATATAGATCAACTTGAGTAACTGTGAGTTAAGATGGCAAAAACCGAATCAACTAGGCTATTCAATAGTCAAGATTTAAGATTTTTCATTTAAAACGAGTAGTGATTATAGTGACAGATTTGAACAATGCTTAACTTTGATTCCAGTGACAAGGAAGTATCGATTACCTTATTATAATAGGTATGGTCTGAAAATTGAGTACCAAAACGCATACTTTATGGATGAAATTACAGTAATCCAAGTATTACCCCAGTTCCATTGAATCAGAGTACACATACATGGTGAGGAACAATCAAGTTATGATAGTCAACGATCTTTTACCACATAAAAAGCGAGTTCAAACACAGTATCTCAATCTCAGATAATTGTAAGGATTGATGAATGACAACTTTTGCGACGACTAAACATTTAGTCGAAACACATTACAGAATTAAAATTTAATTAAATTTCAAAGTGTATATTGGTACAATACTGCATCAAAAAAAAATTCAACTTCATTTCTAAGTTCAAAGACCTGCTACATTCCACCCTCATGAACCTGCTCTTGTAATACTTTGACCGTTTTCAATGACTAGTTGTGATGTCAAAATGTGTTATACTGTACTTTTTTTCTATAGTTGAGCGCGTTGACCGCCTCACTTATCTTGGGAGTCTAATCAGCCCTTGTGATCTAGTGTGTGACGAAACCTCAGCACGGATACAGAAGGCTCGTCTGGCTTTTGCCAACTTGCGTCATTTATGGCGAAGGCGAGATGTCCGTCTGGCAACAAAAGGACGTGTTTACTGTGCAGCAGTTCGTTCCGTCCTAGTTTATGGCAGCGAAACATGGCCGGTAAGAGTGAAGGATATTCGTAGACTACTAGTGTTCGATCATAGGTGTCTTCGAAGCATTGCTCGTATATCCTGGGACCTGGATCAATTATATACATATATATTGTTATCATTCCAATCCTTTACATTCAATTATGTCAATTGTTCCACACTATTTATTACCCCAATGCTAAAACTCTCATATATATTTGGTTGTAAGCAGCTGATGATGAGAAACCACGAAATATAATAAATTCATATTATTCTGCATCCATGTTAGTTCGGGCTTTATTTATATTCATCAAAGGGAACTAATTGCATGTAATTTGAGTATATTTAATCAAATTAGATCTATTCCATTTAATTATAATACACAATCTAGAACCAAGCACATTCGGTCCAACGACTGAATTTGCCACATCATATCAGTATAACTCGATGAAAATATTAAGATCACTATCACTATCAGAGTATAAACGCTTGTTTTATATAAATTTGTTAAAGGAATTAACTGCATGAACTGAAGATATATATCTATATACTCAAAGTACTATAAAGTTTCAAATGTTCTAATGTATCAATTGAAGGGTGAATGTACACACTATTGACAGAAATAACAGTATTGCTGACTATTAAGAACGTTAGTTGATATTATTATTATGATCAAGCAAATAATTATGTAACCTGATCCTATATTTACTCACAAGTTTTATATACATATATAGATATCAGTACATACCTATTATTATTATCCACAAATGGAAAGTGTTTTTGGCTAAGTACAATTGAATCTTCCCTTGAAATTTTGTTTGGATTGTTTACAGATGATAAGTTACTCACTGTAGATGAATGAGGACCATAAACTGGTGAAGTCGATGATGTTTTGCGGGACGACAATGATGATGACAACGAACCAATACTACTTGATTGCAGCGCAGAGGTTTGAGAATTATGAAACATTGATGAGGTTGATGATGGTGTAGTAGGAGTAATTGGTGTTGTTTTAGCTATCAACTGATGTTTAGCAGATGGTCTTTGCATTTTCACTGTATTTCTATGATGCAATGCAGGGTTAACATAAGGGGTTTTATGTGTATTACTTAACTGATGATTATCAATTGTTGGGATCGAACAAGAAAGCTTGATAGGATGTAGAGAAAAATTAATGAGAAAAGTGTATTATTATTATTATAAACTAGCTAATCACTTAGTAGAACGAATATAATCGAAATTTGTATTTCTGGCGTTTCGTGACTTAATGTAAGCCGCTTCTTCAGAGTGAATATATAATCTAAATTAAACTGACACACGTTTAAACAGCAGTTCCTTTTGTACTACTTAAACGTGTTATTTTAATGAAGGTTATCTACTTACTCTGAAGAAGTGGTTAACATTAAGTCATGAAACGTCAGAAATACAATTTTTCTATTCATTGGGATATAAGAAAAATATATTTATTATTAACTCTCTATTCAATGTTCAATCTATTAGAAACTATCAATTACAATCTTCATAATGATACATACAAGATATAGAAAGTTTCCAACTGGAGTAATAATGATAACCAGAGAGTGCCAGACAATTGTTTCATCCTAATGACTAAAAGATTTTCTTGTATTTCTAGTTAAGTCATTACTAATAGAGATCAGAAATAATAGAAATGCAAGAATTGCTATCAATGACATTGGACGATCAACACGACATAGTACAAAATGATTTAGGATGAAATTGTAACACTGGAAATCTAATCAGTGATTAAGATGGTTACAAGTTTGTTTGAAGACTTGAAGATCCTGGATTTCATCAATGGTTACAATCATCGATGCGCACCATTCAGGAATTTCCCACCACCACCAAAAAAAACTGTTCAACGCCTGATATTTTTTTAATCGAGCCTCAACTGATATCAATCTATGACGGATAGAATCTAAAAATAATACTTAAGTTGTACAATCATACTTGTCGGGATTCAGTAAATACATCATTTAACAAATAAGAAGTGTTTGGAAATTACAGGTGTCAAAACTAGATTGAATGATAAGTTAGGAAATAATAAGATGAAGCCAAAATAGATGAAGGATAATTATCCATTTGATGAGTATGAAGAAAATGAATAATATAATAAGTTCGGTACCTGATGCTTACGTACGATCGGTCTACAGTGGATTTTAGAAAAGACGTGATAATTCAGCGTCTACAAGAGAAGGGATTATTAAGAATTTCTTATACTTGTGGCTGTGGTACTCAAATGACCGCTGTACAGTGTGCAGACTACCGTGATGAGATTATCTTTCGATGTTGTTCATGTTGGAAGAAATCAGCTCGAACAGGAACTTTTTTCGCTCGATCACGATTAAGGTTAAGAAAATTATGATACTTGTTGCAAATTGGATAATAAAAGCACCTGTTACATTTGCTGCCACGTTTGCCGATGTAAGTGAAATTTCGGCAGTTCAGTGGTACGAGTATTGTGGAGATATATATGCAGCAAAATTGACAAGCTTACACCAAATGTACGGAGGAGTAGGGATAATCGTTGAAGTAGACGAAACAGTAGTAAGGAAACGGAAATTCAACCGTGGCCGTAGTACTAAAGAATATTGAGTAAGTACCTCTTCCATAAATATACCTCACAGTAGTAGACTTGGCTACGTGCATGAACTTGTCATCCACAAGCGCCATTTTGTGGACCTTACAACTGGGGTGCATACCAACAACATTGAAGCTATGTAGTCGAGGCTAAAAGAATTTTTGAGACCTTATCATGGCTCCAGAGGCCGACTACTATGGAGCCATATGGATGAGTTCCTGTACCGTATGTACTATGATTTTAGAACTTCTGAACCTTTTTCTAACCTTGAGAAGTATTTGAGCCATGTAAAAGAACAGTATATGCTTTAATTTTTTAGTTTTGTATAATATATTTTTACTGTGTAGTAACTGTCTTCTGATTGGCTAATATTCCTCAAGGTGATTTAAGATCCGTTCAAAGGTCGTCCATAAAGTTTAGTCTCACCCTTAATTTAGTAAATATAAAAAAATTACTTATTAGCATCATGGGTAAAATAGAAGTTTACATGTACCAATTTTTTAACTTACTTGTACTTGTACATTAGGACCAACTTCTTTTAAAAATCGTGATAAATCCTCTGGACGATGATGATGATAATAATGATAAAAATTACCACTTTTAGATGTTGAACTAAATGAAGGTGGATTTGATGAAATCACTGTGGTAGCATTCAAATTCAATAAACTTACATTCATATTTTGTGTATTAGTATTAGTATCTAATGATAAAGATTTCCGATTGATTGACTTATTTGGAATTACATGTAATAAATGATAAGTTTGATTATGATCATTATGACTGGTTGTTGTTGTTGTTGAAATGATAGTATTATTATTAGTAATAGTAGAAGAAATATTAAGAGAAGGTAAATTTTGTATACCGTAGGTATTTTCATTGACAAAAAATGTATTGACTGGAGGATTCGAATCTGTATTCGACATAGGATTTCGACTATTCGCGGATGAATTCAGTGAATACACAGCAACTTGATTATATAACTGATGTTGAATAAGACGCTAATTGAGGAAGAAGGATTATAAAAACAGTTCAAGTAAACAGTACACAATATATTAAAAAGGTCTTTAATTGAGAGAGTTATAGTTAAAAACACCCACAATAAAACAGAATATTCAACATCAGTCTCCAAACTTTTTAAAGATAAACTAATTAGGACTATAATTTTATTGATTTACCAAAAACAAGTATATTACACTAACTTGTTCGACAGTTGACCTATTTTCATAAAATCAACCAGTTTCACCGCTTACAAAACATCCTGTTGAATTTGCTGATAAATTAGTTTACTAAATTCAGTCTATGAAAACAATGACTACTAGATTGAGTTGTGTAAGTAGCTCCAAACAACCTAGGCAAGATCCATGAAGTAATCATGGTCAATGATTTAACTTCTGAAAAAAACTTTGTAAGTTAACTAATCCACTAGAGGAGTATGAACTATATTCCGAGTGTAGGGGTCATTGGTACTAGCTGGTTGCCTATACCGAAGTGGATGGAGCAGGATTCGAATTAGAAGACTTATTGGCTAGAAGTCGAACACTCTAACCACTACTAAACCATCATATGAAACAGAATCAGACACAATGGTACTGATGCATTCAGTATTTGTCTTCTCTTAGATCTTCAATTTCCAAACTGTGTTACATTCTTAAATTAACGAATTCATAATTTTTCAGATATTTATATGGATATTCTTTCCTACTGCCACTTCTAATAATAGTACTTTATCCTACTGTGACATCGATCTTGCTTTCTCTTGCTTAGATGAAATCATGTAAAATAGTAAGTTAATTTTTTGCTTTTAGACACAAATCAACTAACTAACTAATGAACTCACTTTACGTTGTTCGGCTAAAAGACGTTGATTAGTCAATTGATTACGTTGACTTGCTGCAGCTTGTTGACTAGCTAATGCGGCAGCCACAGCAGCTTTATTCACAACATTCGTAATGGTAGTAGTAGTAGTAATAACACTACTACTACTACTACCACTAATACTACTGTTTCCACTATTATGACGTCGTAGTACAGTATGCCCAATACCACTTGTTGTCTGAGGTGAATAACCTGACCATGTTGTACAAGTTGTAGTCATTAAATTAGTCATTGCTAATTATGTAATAAGTGAGAGAGAGAGAGAAAAAGAAACTTTTTTTTTAAAAATTGTTAGATTCTAGTAAAAATTTAAACAGAATCAATGTACTTTATCAAAAATACCAAATAACAATTAAGAGAAAAAAGAAAGAAATAGTATACTATCTCCCCCCCCCTTAGGTCTTCACAAATCAAAGTGCATAGTATCTATCTAAATAACAATAACAATTAAACATTAAATTAGCATGAGATGAAACAATTTCGAATAGTACACAACTTAGAAGTAAAATTAATATCAGACAATTGAACAAGTTTCATTGTATTACAACAATAAAAAAGTAACAGTCAGAATTACAATGAATTTATGTTGGGGCATTTATGATTATTAATTACTATGCAGAATTATTTCTGAAGATAATTAATAATAAGATTGAATAGTTAAAATCAACAGTCAATTGAAGCTAGACCATCATGGAAAACCTGGAAGCACTGGACGGTCGTTTCGTCTTATTACGGGACTCCTCAGCAGTGCACATCCACGATCCCGTACTCGCGACATTCGAACCCACGACCTATCAGCCTCGCACCAGAGCACTTAACTGATAGACCAGTGAGCCGGTATCCATGGTGGTCTAGCTTTAATTGACTCATGATTTCAACTATGAAAAATACTAAAATCTCCACAAAACCCCTTCTGAATAAGATTAGAGCATTCAATTTTCAATGCACAAGTCACATTTTCGAACACTATTCCATCAATCTTTGTTTTTGGAAACAGATTTATATCAGTAGTCCTCCTCATGCACAAAGTGTAGTTTGAAGTTGAGTACATAGACTTGTACTTGATAAATGACATAATGATGTACACCGATAAACTTGAAAATCCCAAAGTTCTCTTTCTCTCTCAATTATGATAATCAATAAGCATTGTTACTGAATGTTCTGATTCTAGATATGGTCAAGCCAGTACATCGAAATAACCAAATTTATCTATATTGGCTGGGATATTTGTTCTTTTAGGCTTTAACCATAATAGTCTTAATAAATTAAAAGTACCAACTTAAGATCCAAGGGCAAATTTGTACATACGACTGCATTGAGATGTTTTTGTTGCCCGTTGGTCTGATTCCAATTTGGATGAACGTATCAACATGTGAAAATAAATCCTCTATTTCAGTCCACATATTACCTAAGCTAACTCTATTTGTGCGATGGGGGTAATAATAAGCCAAATACGGGCTGCATTGAGAGAATTTATTTCAAGCATTCGTTTATTCAGACAGACATTCAGAATAAGAAGCGGATCGGAGAAGGCGAGTGAGCCAACTCGATTTGACCAAGAGTAACTCAATATTTATAGTCAGATAAAAAATAAGTTACAAGGCTAAGCACTTAACACTCATATAAAAACAGTCAAGAATAAAAAGCAAATAATCAACAAGGTTAAAATGTGGCTTGAAAAGAATGGATAAACTAGTCTGTCCGGAAGCTAGAATAACTCATGTGAGCTCGACTTAGTACCAGACACCACAATGTGACAGGAGTAAAGGGTTCTCCTCAAATAACCATAATTCGGAGTGACGTTATCTTTCAACAACAAGAAGAGGAGTTTCGACTTCATAAAAATGTCACACCTGATCTTATTACTACATCGTCTTCGGGTGCAATGTCTTTAAGGTACATAGCTAAAACATAAGGAACAACTAACAAAAAGGCCGTATGTGACCGTTCTCAATAATTTTTACCCTTTTGTGGTCTAGTTTGCTTATCAAGTACCTCAAGAAAAGATAAAGTTTCACAATGTGGGCAACTGGGATATAACAATTATCTACACACCTCTAAAATCACTCGAGTACACCATGTTAACGATTAAAACATCCAACAAAAACTCCCTGAAAACAGATCAAGATATATGACATCTACAAAAATACGACAAATTACCCGGATCTTGCGCTGGAGAAACATGCTTCAATGACACTATTATATCATTCCGCGGAATTGAGTAGTCAGGAGTATTACCGGATAGTGCAGGAGTACTACTATTATTATGATCATTGATTTTTACAGAATACCCAGGAAATTCTGTTACAGCACCGTTATTACTATCATTATTTGATGATGTGACTGGCAATTTCTCCGTAACTAGGCCCTGTTGTAATTGTTCACAGATACGTGCAACAGCTTTAGCATCATTTTGCCAATTAACTTCATCTCGATGAACAAAATCACCATCGACACTAGCCTTATTATCACCAACAGTATCGACTTGATGATCAGATATTGATGTAGATGAAGAGAATCTAGATCTTTTAGAACTGGGAGATTCACTTAAATATGGCAATGAATTATTATTACCAGCTTCTGTACCAGTAATAATAGGAGTATTGATAGTAGATGTAGTAGTAACAGCAGTAGTAGTATCACACTGATTAGGATGACAATATTCATTTTTTTCATTATTTCTTTCTAATTCATCTCGTCGTAATATCTCACATAGAATTTCCACTTCTTCTGATATCTCTTTCGATGAAGTGGATGGATGTCGTTTGGGTAAATCTAATGATGAAGAACATGATGAAGATGTGTTGCGATTATTCTCTTCTAATAGAGCGTCATTAGGATTAGTTATTGCTTCATGGATTAACTGTTGCAGATCATCATCATTCCATTCGACTGGAGCTATTGAATATGACGATGGGGGTGGTGGTAATATTGACGAACAGCTGTTCGTAGGACCAGTGGAAGATAACCCTCCGCAACTGCTAGTGCTAGTAGTACTAGCAAGTAATCTACTGAAAGACTGATTGTCATCGGCGATCGATGTGAACTGCAAGCTTTTAAAAATAGAAGGGAATCGAATTTTAATAATTAGGATAGTATAGATAGGTTGAAATATAATATCTTAAAAAACAAGAAATTCGTTTACTATACTAAAAATAATGAAAAGCTGTTCTAATTATTTAAACACTTTACTTCATATATTTCGATTTAAACAATTGTTGGATAGTATCTTGTGTTCTACCACTGAATCGCATTGTATTACAAATTATGAGGAATGTAGCTAGCAGCTTAACTGAATAACGAATAAATTATCATATGATGTAGAAAGGAAACGGTTGACTGGTCCTTTTTTAAATAATCAGCTTTCGCAAATTGATTGGGGCATATTATACATAAATTCTAATTCCCTTACCACTGGGTCTTCTGTCATGCAGGTGATTGGAAGATACATTTAGTTTTCCATTCTCGTTTCGACTTGGAAAGAGTACAGTAAAGTATTGTGTATGTACTAAGATATGAGATACGATTTTTGAGTATGAAAACTAGTGACATATTGTGGTGTGTGCTACTGATGTCGACAGATATAAGTAGTATGTATCATCAATCATAAGTGAAAGAAACGAGAACGAGAAGAATGAATGATTGGTATAGAATCAAAAGAACAATGAAATCTGAGAAGATTGACTGATATTTGCAGAAGGAACAGTCAAGTTTAATACAATTGATTGACATTTTGCAAATTAAGTATTTACTGTGGTTGCCAAAGTGAAAGATGAAGAGGAGCCTTCTTTTCCCCTTCAATGCTTTAATTATTTTAATAGGATCATAGTTTTCTTTTTGCAATACTAAACTATAATATCTGCCACTTCTCCCTTGATATCTTATACTAGGTAAGTAAAAATTGATCAGTAATGAAGGCAAAACAAAATCACAATGCTTACAATGCAGTGAAATCTACGCAATCATATAGAACGCTATTTAGGGTTCAAATAACTGAATGAATGTGGTAGGGATTCAAATACAACGAGAAGCAACGGTTCTTCGCAAAACTGCAGATATATATTGTCACTATTCAAAATTATTTAGCAGAAAGTGTGAATTCAAGTGCTTAGTTGAGATTATCATTATGGTTAGGATTAGTGACTTAAGAAAGGGTTAGCGCAATCAGTAGTTAGTCAATCAAAACCAAGATAAAACCTTGAACGTATGTGCACTACTCCCCAGCTGCTAAAACATAGATGAAATTACTAAGATGAGTGCCATAGTGTTAAAAGTAGCATAAATGGCGGATAGTGTGGAAGCCGGCCAGGTAGTCTGGAATCAGTCAATCAACATAGAACCTGGAACAAATCTACGTTGGTCCAAGTTGCTATACCATATTAGCACGACAAGATGAAATTAGCAAGGTGAATAGAAAAGGAATGGAAATAATGTAGCAGTAATGAGAATGAGAAAATAATTATACAAAACAAAAAAAAGATCTTTATGAACAAATAATCCAGTTTTCTTTTACCAATATAAGATAGATCAACAATCAATCACTGTACAGACTAATATTAACTTCTGATTCCCCTAACTTTGACTTTAATTCAAACTACTACGCTAGCCTTGGTAGGTTAGAGTGGACAGTGATTGGTCACCAATACAAAAGTCAAAATAAACTCCTATCTATCAGATCCTCATGCAGTCACTGTTGGTATAATACAAGGTAGTCTTTCAAGTGATTTTCTTTTTATAACCTGCATGAATGATATCTCAAATTCCTTTAGCAAGAGTAAACCTTTTCTATGCGCCAATAGTATTAAGGGATTGGATTTGTTTCCCACATAGAGCTCAATAAGCTTGTTATTTGGTGCCCAAAATGGAATTTGGAATTTATGTTTGTTAAATGTGGATGGATTTGCTTTCATAACCTTTTTCTCAATTTTGACTATACCATAAAAATGTATTATTCTGGTTTAATATAGTGGTTAATGGTTCAGATATTCTAACAATCTAGACTTCTTAGAACATGTTTCAAAAACAGACTTCATTTTCTTGAAGAATTTGAGTTGTTCACTACGTAATCTATGTAACAATAACCAACGTATATTAATCTACAAAGTATGCATACAATCAACTCTACAGTACTGCGCATTTAGTTTGAGTGGGGTAGACTTAGGTTGGAATCTGTCTATCGGTGCTTAACACTTCTTATTTTTGAGATTGCCACTAATCCTTCTAATCTAGAGCTTTTCCCTGAATAATTACATTTTGCTGTGATAATATGGTATGACAGCTTGAGACGACGCATATATGTGTCACGTTCCACGTTATGTATGACTAACTGATACTCTGATAACAGTTTTGTGCTCTTAAATGTGATCACCTCTGTTTATGTATTTTGTCCGCATCGTTTACCCTACGTTATTACCCATCTTTGTAACGACTTTTCAGACAATGTGTCTTAAATATCACCTCGATTCGTATCAACCTGATTTCGTCTATAAATTAATGAGTATTCAGTTTTTATTATTATACGTAATACATATTCCAACAACTTCAGCAACTGGAGATTCACAAGCTTATCAACTTAACTACTATCTTTGCTCGATAATGATCAGAAAAGAAAAATTAAACGTGAGTTTGATTCACGCTTAAAAGTGAAAATATTCTCTAGCTAGGATCTATCCGGCCGCTAGATTTCATACATCACAATGTTCAAGTGACAGAGATAGAAAATGATCAGTGTCGACTTTTAACAAGAATAAAATGGAAGAATACGCAAACAATTAATACTCCGAGTACAACACATATAAATCAACTTACTTAATTTTAAAAGATGACATGTCAACATTGTTCCTTTCTTCTTTACATTTATTGATCGTGGAAAAAGTATTATTATTGAATGATAAATTTGAATAGTTTTCAACATTAGCCACAGCATCTGATATTTCTTCTGGTTCCAATTGTGCATCTAATAATAACTGACATATACTAGATTGTCCAGGTATTAAACTACTGGTGGAATTGTTCTCTGAATCTTTGCTTGTTTTTACAAGATATTTATCTTTATTTTCTAATTTAGATTTTACATTAGAATTGGGTGATAATGTTGACCAGGAAAATGTTGACAATGTGTTTTCATCATTAGATTGATGATCAAAAGATGAAATATGTTTACTGAAAGTAACATTATTTGAATTGATGAATAGGCCTATTATGGTAAATATAAGTAAAGTGATATGTCATACAAGTATAAATATTGTATTGTCAGTAAACCAATATGGTTCAATATAATGATTAACATGTTAAACTTTCTAACTACTCAACAGAAATAATAGTAATCACTTAAAATCATTAGTGTATGATTGAGAATAACAACAACCATAGTAGTACTCTATGACAAAAGTCTGTAAGAATGAAATGCTTAGAAATCTGTCGACTCTGTTTAACGTCTAATAGTTTGTTGCAGTCTTCTGACCACTATAAGCAACTATGCAGGTATGTTGGGGATGCGATTCTCACCCTCGAAGTGCAAAATGTTACTTCAGGATTGGGTTGCGTCGGCACCTGAACTAATGATAGAAAGTGAAGAACTTAAGCGTGTTGATCGCTTCACTTACCTTGGGAGTCTCATCAGCCCTTTCGGACTGATGTGTGAAGAAATCTCAGCACGGAGACAGAAGGCTCGTCTAGCTTTCACCAACTTGCGTCATTTATGGCGAAGGCGAGATATCCAACTACCAACCAAAAAACGGGTTTCCTGTGCAGCAGTTCGTTCCGTCCTATTTTATAGCAGTGAAACATAAGGGGGATATTCGTAGGCTACTAGTGTTCGATCATAGGTATCTTCGAAGCATTGCTCGTATATCCTGGTACCAGCGAGTAAGTAATGCAGATGTTAGGAAACGGGTACTAGGTAAGGATGGCAAATCGGTTGATGAAGTAGTGAAACTTCATTAGTTGAGATGGCTGGGACACGTGTTATGTATGTCCAACCACCCACTGCCCCGATGTGCAGTGCTTTATGGTGTAGGAGTAGATTGGAAGAAATCTAGGAGTGGCCAGATCAAAACGTGGCACAAATCCATGAAGTCACAGACAAGTGGACTGAGCCATGTTGGTAGGTGTAGACTACCTGGTTGGGATCCGAGAGATGATAGCAACCTATGGTTAGAGACCTTGAATGACATGGCTCAAAATCGTTTGTAATGGCGAAGGTGTATCCACTCATTGTGTTCTCCCAAAAACTCTAATCTTCTGAATTCTTTATGTCTCTTTCGTTTTTCTTCTTTCAAATTTGTTTCATTGAATTATACTCCTTCAATAACATCCAACCCTAATCTTTCCGATTACTGTTTATACTCTTACTACTTCTACCACTATGGGATTTGAATGGACAACTGCATCTCTGTGCTAATTTGGTATGGCAACTCGAACTGATGTACTTGTGTACGAAGTTCTACGTTGTGACTGACAGACTGACTTTAGCGAGACAATCACTGATAAAGTATGAAATTAAATAGTTAGCTGTTATTTATGCTTAATTTATAACTTTTCGTCATATTGTTCATCCGGAATTGATTATCCGATTTGTAGTTGATACATTTCAGGTAAACGTTTTTATCAAAAGAAATAAAACGATACAATGAAATTGACCATTTATTTATCAGAATGATGTGAATCCTATAACAGTAATAAATACATCGCAAGAAATTCAATGATTACCTTGACTTCTTGTACATTTTTCACTTGTTATCATAGAAGGTGGATTAATCGAATGGCAATGATCACTTTGTGAAATATTCGAACTGATTATTTTATTTTGGTCATGTGAAGTTGTCATGTTACATTGAAGATTTTCATATCCTTGTGCAACAGTATTTGAAAAAGATTTAGTAGATTTGCAATGATAATCATTTTGTCCAAATAAAGGTGTATATTTAGGAGAATCCACTGAAGAATATGATATTATATCAGAGACTAATGGAAAATCTTGTAAAAGAAGTTGTGTTAATGATGTGAAAGGTGGGCTAGGAATTACATCTGAATTATGTTGAGCATCAGATATACCAAAAATTTTTCTTATACTAGGCGAAGGAACTTCTTCAAATTGTGAAGCATGTCGAGTTCGTTTATTACCGGGTGATATATGTGGACTAAATGGTGATGAAATTGATTGTGTAGTTGCAGGACCACTACGACATCGTTTACTAGTATTTGTCGTTGGTTGATTATTGCATAGATTATCTAGAGAAACAGCTATTAATCGACATTCCGATTTTCGATTGTTTAGTTGTCGTTGTACATTATTGATTTCGGATTCAGTGTTTGTAATTATGTTAGAAGTGTTAAAATCAGTTGTATCTGGAACAAGTTGAGAGGTCACAGCTACAGAACGTGGTAATGTTGGAGAGGATAATTTCAGTAAATGCTAAAGTAAATAAAAATATTTATGGATTACTTTCTGAAGGTATGTTTACATGTATGATTATAACACTACGGCCAACATAAAACAATACCACTTACAATCCTAAATTAATTTGCAAATAACATGCTTTAAATTTTATCAGTCTGTCCTATATTTGATCTCATCAAGATACCAACATGTAAACCAAAGCTAAGTGTTATTTCTTTTATTTAAAAACACATAAATATTGGTACATAAGAAGAACCAGATATATATGTGCTACACAAATCTCATTTGATTTGTGTGAGGGCTATGATACTGCCCGGGTGCCCAAACCGAAATAGGAAAAGTTAAGTGTATGGTATAGCAATGCTGGTTAAACTTCATCAAATAGTCTGTTCTAAAATATAATTGTAAGATTTTCGCACTGAAAATGTAAAACAATTGATTGTTTAATTCCCATATCTAACTTACTATTACAAGTAAATATAAACATACATTATAATGGCTGTCAATAACTTAAAATAGTATATGGGAGAGAGAAATCATTCAAAGAAAAGAAAAAGTGCATAATTGTAATTTATATACGAAAATAATATCGATTAGAGTGTTATTTACAGAAATCCAAAATGTAACGATTTTTGAAGAAAAAAAAATTGTGATGATTTTATAACCGATGTATATATGCGCCTGATCCTACGTTGTAGATGACTGACTCAATGTTTCATGGTTAGTTCATAACATAATTCTTTGACTTACATAATCGACAATGTTTAATTTTATGAAAAGAAACTTAAGATTGCATAGTTGCACGTTAACGATTTGACATTTTTACTAAATAAGATAAGTAAAGGCAGACAAAAAGGAAATAAACTACACGTTTTTTTTCTGTTCCTTAATTTGGCAACGAGGATCTCAGAAGTGGCTTTCATACCAAATGAAAAATTAACGCGTTATCTCAATGCAGAAGTTTAAAGCAGAATTGGTGTTGAAAGAATCAGCTTACTTAATGAAACTTTCTGTGAACGAGCAATTACTCTGGTTAGTGTGTAAAAGTAAGTTAGAAAATTATCAGACATGATATCAATTCATGAAGTCATGGATTGTTTTCAATCAAGTCAGTAGAGAGGTGTATACCTCCTGGGTTAAGGTGCATATACACTAGTATTAATTAATAGCCCCTAAATGCCCTGGTATAGCCGAGAGTGGGGAAAGTCCTCTCTCTCTCTCTCGAAATACTCTCACATGGCCACGCGAATATATAGCCTCTGTCAGGGAAGTCCTACTCACTAACTTCTCGTGGCGGGGATGCTGTTCACAAAAGTGAGAGGACGAAAAGCGAATGTGCGGTGCTTTAACCGGGTTGCTGGACATGGAGGGTCCACCTAGGGGAGCTGGAAACCCTCATTCCAAACCAATGGTGCACATAGGCTCAAGGATCCTGATGGAACGAATGGCGTATGAACCTATTGTTGGTTACCGGCTACCATGACACTGCATCTCCTTATGATGCTCCACTGCCTTGTGGATCAGACCTTTAAGTCAAAGGCTCCGGGTGTGGCCCCCTAAGAAAACCACCTGCTTCAGTCTGAGCACCTGGGCAGTATCTCAGCCCTCACACAAATCGAATGAGATGTGTGAGGCGCATATTTATCTGGTGCTTCCTTGTACCAATATTTATGTGTTTAAATAAATAAATTAATTAATTAATTAATAGCTGAAAACTTTAATCAGATAAAATCCAACTGTAGTCATTATTTGGTTTCCTCTAAATATTGAGTTGTACAGTAAAAAACTAAAGAGCGATAGACACGTGATTCGTCCCAATATAATGGTTTTAATGGTCAAGTGTTCGTCGTGAAGATCCCCGGCCTAATCCGTTCACGGTCATAAGTGCGCAGTTGTCAAGTACTTCTTGATCTTCAATACCATCCTAGATAAGATCAATCTGTGACAAATAAAACTGATCACCACTCAATTTCTCGAAACAAACTTTGACAGAATAAATGCGAGACAATAATAAATTAATCTTATGACTTACTCCTCCATCAGAAGTATTCATATCTGTATGATGTCCAACAGATTGATTTTTTGCTGGATGCAGTAAACGCTGTTAGTATTTAAAAAATAGGATATTTTTGAAGATATAAAAGATAAATTGGAATCCAGTCAATAATAATAATAAATAAAATGAAATCGACATTAGGTAAAGCGAAATAGATTGTTTAAACTGTATCCATTATAAGCTAAACCTACATTTTCTTAACAAACTAATCAATAAAGTGAATACAGTTTGGCGAAGTTCTTTTATTCACAATTTTATAATGTAAGGATATGCAAGTACTGATAGTTATAAATATAGTCATCTATTCGATTAGTATTATTCGTTTGAATCTTCCCATTTATGTTGTCAGGTCTGCAACTGGTCAGTCTCTAATTGGCATACGTGCATACTGTGCGTATTGCCTGGATATAGCCTTATTTCACAAGCATGGTAAGCAAAGATGGATGGTGGCTAGCAGTGGAATCCAGGATGCGCGTTTCTTCCTATTTGGGACTCGTCAGCTGGATATACCTGCATCTCAGAGTTGATGTTCACTCTGGGACTCGAACCGGGTACCTTTCGCTTCAAACGCCATCGCGTTATCCACTCGGTCAGAGTCCTGATAGCCACCTATTTGTGCAATGGGTTGAAGTTTAAATTCAATTAGTATTGTTTGTCATCTATGTTAAATATAAGGATAAGTTACAGCGACAATTATTTTTTTAAAAATTTTCAAAAAAAAGATAAAGTAACAAACAGAAGTTGATAATGTTTCACGTAGGATCAGACACATATATACATCGGTCTAAGTTGTCATACCTCATTAGTATAACAAGATGAACACCAAATCCATAGCAGTTACTTCAATGGTAGCTGCTTCTATGAATTCGGTGTTCATTTTGTTGTGCTAATGAGGTATGACAACTTGGACCGATGTATGTATCTGCCTGGTCCTACGTTGTAGATGATTGACTCAATGTTTCATGGTTAATCCATAACATAATTCTTTGACTTACATAATCGAAAAATTCCATTTGTAATAAAACATATACAAATGGCATAAAAATATGAGACTTAAATAATATTAATAGTATACTACAGGAATTTAGAATAAGTCACCCGCTTATATTAGACTCTAATAAAAACTCAGAATTATATTATTTTGTTGAGACAAAGACTAAGAGGTATGTTCTACTAAGAACGATTTTATGCAGGACCAACGTAGAATTGGTTGTACAAAATTTAAGGTCGAATTCTAGTCAAGAGGAATAGAAAATAAATTCATACTCATTATCCATTAGAGTTAAATAAGTATGCATGGAGGATACAATAGATAATGAGTTGAATAAAATCCAAACATTTGAGGAAAATTTTACTCATATCAGGTTTATTGACAGGAAAGAATATTGAATTCAAAAGGAGATATGGTAACAAAACTTTTTGAATACCAATCGTCAAGGAAATCTTTCTACACTGATGTGCTTAGAATTGTCTTCTACAGTAGGTACCTGGGAACTTTTTTTGAATAATACTCACTGCACTAGCTATTTTCATTATGACTGACACATGTATTATTTCGACTATATTTTATTCCTCAATTTGTTAAGTACATACATCTTGTTGTTCTGATGTGATATGACAACTGGGATTGACTGTTTTAAGATTGATGAATTATTATTTATTAAAATGAATGAAAAAGTTCCAGCGAATGAAATTTTTTTGACGATATCATTTTCTGAAGCTATAGGTCGTTTCATATAGTTAGTAGTCTATAGTAAAGTAAAGGAGTGTTGCAAAATTATCTAAGGTAAATATACATAGAACGTGATAGATGTGCTTGGTTTTGAGTCATACACTTGTGTTTCTGAGAGAGAGAGAAAATGCTATTGAAACACTAATCAGTTGTTCAAATCCATATAGAGAGAGTAGTGAGATTCGAAACTGCGAATTAACAATTGCAAATTATTAAATAATCAAACCACTAGACAGTAGTTGCTATCTCTATACAATTTTAATCATATTTAATTATATATATATATATATATATATATATATATATATATATATATATATATATATATATAGACTTCAATGTAATAGATTATTTACAACTTGCATTGACTAACACTAATAACGCTTCGTTCTATTTCAACTATGAAAATACTAAATCTCCACAAAACCCCTTCTGATTATAATAATAATCATATTCCCACTTGTGACTGACTTGGAGAGGTAAATCCAGGAGTTCTAGTGAGAAGCGGTGACCAGTGGAGTTCAAACCACGTCTGTTGTGAGATAGGAACTCACTGAAGACAATTGGTGAACGGTTGCTCAACTTTTTGGATTGGTTGAAGTTAGACATTAACACCATCGGATACCGGCTCAGTGGTGTAGTGATTAAGCGCTCACGCGCGAGACTGATAGGTCCTGTGTTCGAATCTCCCGTAGGCGAGGTCGCGAATGCGCACTGTTGAGGAGTCCCACAATAGGCTATCCAGTGCTTTCAGGTTTTCCCTGGTGGTCTAGCTTCAATTGACTCATGCTTTCAACTATGAAAATTTTTTTGTGACATTTTAATAGTATATGATACATTATGGCGTAACCAATAGGAATTATCAAATTAAGATTCAGATGATGATGATGAAAGGAAGAATATATGATGGGGTTTAGACATTGAAACATTCGATTTTGAATCAATTATTTGCAGGATCCAACCCCACACTTATAGATCCAGTGTAGTTCGATTAGATGAATAATGTAATCAAACTGTACAAAGTGTTGAACTTTAAGCCGAATAGATACTTGTGTACTTTGATGAACACCTGCTTCAGTTTGGGCACCTGGGCAGTATCACAGCCCTCACGCAAATCATATGAGATTTGTGAGGCGCATAATTATCTGGTGTTTCCTTGTACCAATATTCATGTGTTTAAATAAAATAAAAACTTTGATGAACAAGTTAAAGTGAATATACTTTACTTATCATTAAAGTGTAAATATCGATAGTACGTTGCATTTAATCACATTCAGTTGATGAATTCGAAAACCAGTGAAATTCATGTTTACTTTATTAATTTCAGATATAAACCACTAATAAATGCATGTCATATTAAAACTTTCATTTAAGCGGTCCTAATTCTAATATAGAACATGATCAATTAGTCATTCAACACTGAATAACAATGACAAGTGGGGGAAATTTGCAAGCCTACACAAATATGATTAAGTGTATGACTGACAAGTATATGATAGGCAAAGATACCAAAATAAACAGATATCAAGTAGACTAAACACTTACAACTAACAAACTCTCAGTTCGTGGTTGTAAAGATCGAATTTCAACGTACGACAAATTCACCGAGGAAGTAACAGTGCCAGCACCAACCGTAGTCGTTGTAATTAATGAACCACTATTACTGGAAGGAATTAATGAACGATTATTGATTTGTAGTTCGGAATTAATTTTCTGTTGGGACATGGATATTGGGCTATAAGCTACTTCTGTCAAAACAGGTGAACCATACTGAAAATTGTGCGTTTGACTGGAAGGTGCCATACAACATGATGCTCTTGGTGAAATCACCTGACTGTGCAACGATGATGATGAAGGTGGTGAGATTCCAGAAATTGACTGTTGCTGTGGCTTATCTCCAACTTTCGACTGACATAACGATGGTGGTAATATGCAAAGATCAGCTTCTTCAGACAATAACCATTCAAGCATACAACACTGTGAATTAGTTGATACTCGAGGTAAATTACCAGTAGATGATGTGTATGGAGTTTCAATAGAAACACTATTATTAATGTTGTTTTTGTTGTTATTATTAAGTGGTTGTGAAACAATCAGTTCATCTGTCTGTTTTATACATGATGACAATGGTGAATTACTCACAGTTTCATTACAAGATGTAGATATTTTTTGAACCTTTTAGCAAAGCAGTGGAGAGAAACAAGAAACTGTGATAAATACTTATACGATAAAACTAGACAAAGTAAAATCGACTCCATACAAAAATCCTGATCATGTTCTGAAGATTTTTATCAGGCTCAGTCAGTCAGTCAGTCAGCTACAACGTAGGACCAGGCATATATATGCATAGGTCCAAGTTGCCATACCTCGTTAGCACAACAAGATGAACACCGAATTCATAGAATTAGTTAATTTAGTGGTGGTAACATATAAGAGAAAGGTTGTATATAAGGGTATAGTATAGGAAGGAAGACAGATATGAAGCAATTTCAATCTCAAGGTTTAAGGGAAGATAAAGAGTGTATATACCTACGCCATTGTGATTGATTCTGAACCATGTCAACTAGAGTCTCAGACCATTGGTTACGATAGGCACGCGGACCCCAACCAAGTAGTCTATATCTATCAACATGGCTTAGACTAGAAGTTAGTGACTTCAAGCACTTCAAGCACCATCCCCAATACTAGTCAGCATTGCGCGTCGTGGTAATCGGTGTTCAGGCATACGTAACACGTGGCCTAACCATCAGTCGATGAAGATTTACGACCTCATCAACTGACTTACTCTGAGCCTTATAGGCTCAGAGTTAGTGGTAGTCAGCGTAGGACTTAACAGAAGAATTATCCCCACAAAAGAATATGTAGAAATAAGAGAAAAACAGAAAATGAGTGAAGAGCGAATCAATCAGATTCACATAACTAAAACTTTATGTAAACCACTATTGGAACCCAGAAATCAATGAATTCCATGGATCGAATTATAGACTTTACCAAATTACGTTTTCATTAAAATCAAGTCACCAAATTATTTACAAAGAAATATGCTATCAATATTTAAAACATAAGACAAAATTATCTGGATTGCTAACAATTTTTAGAACTATGTAGACTGATTTATAACTACTGCGGTTTAAACAAACTAATGTTAGCAAAAACGTATACAACACTTTTATCATAATAGGAATTCTATACACTATTTTTTTTCATTTAAAACGTTTTTCGAGGTGTCAGATAGTTGAAAGTAGTCGGAACGTAACCATCTATGGCCAATGCGGTTGGTGCTAGCCAACAAGGTGCATCTGCAAACTTGGAGGAACTGGTGCCTCTTTTCTGATGATTATTTTCAACTGCCTAATGTCTCAGTATAGTGCACGCGTTGTTGAACCAACGAGATCACTGGTTATGTTAGAACTTGATCAATAGAATTTGACTATCACTAAAGAACTAGACAAACATGATATTTGGTCAATATAACTCAGTGATCAACTGATTGTAACGATTTTTAAAGAAATTATATTGAATCAAGCATAACAATTACAACCAACTTACCGTATTCCCTGTATCACTAATGTTAGATGAAGTTACACAAGTCGCAGTAACATTAGGACATAACACACCTGAATTACTTTCTACAATATTGGTTTCACTGTGAAAGAGTTTGTTTGTTATTTCAGATGAAAACATTCCAATGGTAGACGACGTTGTATCACCGCTACCGACACTGGCGCACAATGACTTAGTAGATGGTATGGTTGTTATTGTTGACAGAATGAAAGGTCTAGTAAAAGAAGGATCCGTTCCTTCAATGACGTTGATGACAGAATTGGAAGCTGAATTTTTTCCTTTGGAGTAAAGAAAAAAGCAAAACAAGAACAATCAAGTAAATGATCGCCACAAATAGGTGCCTAGTTGGGTGGTTCGTGATGAACCCTTATCAGTTTAGAAAATTACCAAACTGACTGAAATTAACATGGTTGTCGCTTGTGTACTCCTAACGATACTGTAGGTGAGAACTACTGGAAATTCTCCAGGCTTGTGGGGAAGTGGCTCAGTGGTTAGAGAATTTGATTAGTATACACGGAACGACATGTCAAAATCCCCCTATATCTACTGCTATTTAGTCAACCGGATAGTACTACCAAAATGAGATCAAGTTGGTCAGTAATAACACAATCTGGTGTGGTTGGTTGGAAACTTCAGTTGATGACAATTAGATTTTATTTCGGGATAATTTCCTGAATCAACTAAAAATATTAATATTAAAAGTATTTTTCCAAGTTTATCACATATAGTAAAGTCAAATCGTTAAGCTTTACATTACTCCCTTCTTGAAATTGATGATACAGACGTTTGTTAACTATTTGGTAACTTCCAGCATTATGCAAAATATTACTTTCGTGTATAATTTTTGCTTAGTTAAATTACTATGTGACTGGCTAACTATCAGCCTATGGAAGGTGAACTAACTAACTATTTATGATACTTATACTTTGTATTGAAAAGAAACAGCATTTATAAGTAGAATATCAAAGAGAATAGAAACAATAACATAGAATAAGCGGTAGGCAATTTAAAAATCTCGAAACACCAGTGAAATAAACCGCTAATGAAGATATTCATTCTAATACACACTGATCCTTGATAAAAATAGAGACTAATGTAGGTGAGCGAATGTTGAAGGAAATGTAGCTTTTGGTAGTGATTTACGGTTTATTATCATAGATATTTTTATTGTATAGTTAGTAGATAACTGTATTATTTTATTTATATATTCCCTTCATTGTGAGCTGTCTATAAACTTACTAACTATCGTCATACGTTTTACTATTTCTTTAACTATTACTGACTAATTACGTACTGTCGGCTTCGTTCCTTCCGCTTATGGCATGATTGTATAGAAAGTACGACCCTTTATTTGGGGCGTGTAGTGGCCCAATAATTCGTGCATATAGGCTGGGTGGTTAAAATATAAGAACAGAAGCTTAGCTACTAGTTTATTCTTTTGAATTACCGGACCGATAGGAGTGATGTTTATTCTAACTCAAGGTTAATCGTATCAATTAGAACGTATTACTGATCAAGTCCTAGGACACTAAGCTATAAACCTAGTAGCATTGGCGAGTCGAGCAAGTAAAAGCGACTAACTACTTAAACATAACAGAAATAAGGACACCCATTAAAAAGTAGCGATACTCAACATATAAATAATAAGATGATGGAGATATTCAAACCATTAATCAGTCATAGGTTTTGACGTAAGACCTAGAGTATGAATGTATATAGGCTGAACTTACAACACCCATGTACTAAGTGCAGAATTTTGTATTCGACTTCAAGTTAAAACTTACTTGCATGTAACGGCTAGAATGATACCATGTATCTCTGACAAAGTGTGGTTCAAACATGAGATATAATAGTTGCAAAGACTAAGTTTTATTTACCAGTAGGCAATAATGTTTAATTTCATTGATCTCATTAAAAGTTGGTGTTTTTACATGATGTAGCTGCCGATAACAAATGAGATATTTCATCTAGCATCACTTATCACTGGTACATCTATGACATATGATTCATAAATACATGAAAAACAATCATTTTTACACTGAAATGATTTTCTTTTATTGAATGAACAATAATTCAGAATAGAAGATATCATTGAACTCACCATTTTCATCATAATCTAACGTTGATAATCCCAACTCTTGACTATTGTCCGACTGAAGCATTACAATATCATCTGTTTTAAAACATGAATCTATTTCTGACCGAGGTTCAGGTAAATTATCTGTGATAAATGCTTTAGGCCCAAGATATTGTCTAACAACTTGTCGAACTCGACGAGCAAAATTTTCACGTACGACATTTGATACATTATGCGGTGAAGAATTCGAAATTTCAGTGGTAGTAGTAGTAGTAGTAACTGGTATTGTAGAAGCTGACGATTTCAGTGACATTCTTGAAATTTCTGAATCACCTTTAATAAGTCTATTCATTTCCTGCCATATTTGACGAATTTCTTGTATTGCTTGAGGCGGTAAAAGATGTTGCAGCATTAAAATTCTAAGAACCAGCAAAGAGAAAGTAATACATAAACGTACTTAGTGATTCGACTTCAATAATCAAATTTATACGTGAAGGTATGTGAAAACAATGAAGGTATTATTTTAACACATATGTATATACTTTTTGAAAACAAATGGAGAGTGTTAGAAAGATCCCGACTTATCTAATTTTTGTTAGTAAATTTCGTTCGATAATCCAACGCTCAAATTTTTTTGGAATCCATATTTTCGTGTCACTTTCTTTATCTTTTTGATTTGTTGATACTATTGGTTTCACTATTCGAAGACTAGTGTTAATAAGTTGTGTGCCAGTTGGCGTATTGCTGAGTTCACATGAATTTTAGAATAATTTCGATCATTTTTAATTTGGATTAAATGTAAACCCAGTCGGTAGATTCAACAGAGAGCAACGACAAAAGTAGTCTTTAGAAATAAATATTTAATTCAACCGTTAGGTTACGGTATTGTACACGAAAATATTCCTTCCTAGAATAATATGAAAACTTATACCTGATATGAACAAATATCATTCGTGATCAACTTAGGACTTGACAAGAGTATATATCGGTTGAAGTTTTCATACCTCGTATCCAAACAGCTAGATGATATTAAACAAGACAAGTATAGAAGAGTAAATAATATAGGAAACCATAAAAATCTAAACGTGAAAAAAAACTCAAAAGAAAAAGGTAAGATCAAAATACGAATATATTAAGTGAATATAATTGTCACTGTGACCCATTTTTCGCCGTTTCATATAATATCTCAAAATACCTGATTATGAGTACAACGAAACACATACCTCAACTACCTTAGTCGATGAACGCTTGTAGACTAACAGGTGAACTTACATTATTTGTCTAATACTCTGCTCACAATTACAAAATAACCCACTCAGTGGTTCCACTATATGTTCGGAATTATTTGATGAAACCTATCATCAAAATATTTGCAGCTTTTACTTTTCTATAAGGGTTAACATTATTTCCTTTTTGTCTGTACCTCATCTTGCTAATTTCCAACCTCGAGTTCATGTAACATTTAACAATTTATGCTGTTTTGAGTTATATATGACTGATTGATTGAAGGTGTATACATAAAAATATAGATCCAAGTGTTTTTAGACCTCAGAACAATTGTATCAGTTGTGAATACATCACAAACTTAAACTTATAAGCATGTAGAGAGAAAATCAACAAACAGATGTAGAACAAGAGAGAAGATAATAAAACTAACAGGAGTAAGAAAACACTGGAGAAAAACCCAAGCATAAAAGCAAGAGAAAAAAAAAAACAAAAATAACGAAGTTTTGATCCAGCTAACTATTTGACTCGTCATCTATGAAAATTCCTATACAAAGGCATCAAAAATATGGAAAAATTTAACTGAAAAGTCAAATTCATTTAAATCCAACTCGTCAGATACAGATTTGTGTAATTGATTTCAAAGTCACATCTTAAGTGTGAGAGCTAATGACATTATTCAGTCGTTCAAACCGAAGTAGGTAGTGCAAAGTAAGAACTTGTGACTTAGTGGCTGAAAATATAACTACTTAGTTACCGCTCCATTTGTATTTAACACCTGAAAGCTATTCAAAAAGAACTGTTGACACAAATACAGAACGTCACCTGAAACTAAATATCACATCAATGAGGATGATAATGCCAATAAGGTTAAGGAGGTATACTTTACCGGATGCGTGTGTGATAAAAACTTTATCAATAAAATACATCTACTTATATACAGTATATGAGAACCATAACAAAGTTGGTCAGTTAAATGATCTTACCATTTTATTTATTTATTTAAACACATATATATTGGTACAAAAGGGCACCAGATACATATGCGCCACCATGTGGACTACTATTACTAATTTATCTATTTCACATATTAAACAGGTTTATCGGAAAAAAGAGGAACTATTAAACAATAAGCAAATTATTTTTCTCTTTCTTAAAAGTTACTGACTACTGTGGAACAGGTATACATTCAATCAATCTACAAGTAACAAGTAGAGAACTTAAGAAACCAGTATTGTAAATATGAGAAACATAGAAAGATGAAAAAGCTATAACCTATTCTCTGAAGGAGTAAATCATACTAAATTGCAAAAACTCTGAGGATTTAATTTTCTTATGCTCACTTGGATAGAATAAATGCATAGCATTAGAACGATAAACCATTTATCCGATGCCTCCCCCAAATGCCCTGATACAGCAGAGAGTGGGGAGAGTTCGCTCACCCTCTCAAAATGCTCTCACATGGCCACACGTATATAGCCTCTAACAGAGAAGTCCTACTCACTACCTTCCCGTTGCATTAGTTGTTTACGAAATTGAGAGGACGAAAAGCGAATGTCAGGCGCATTAACCAGGTTGGTGGACACGGAAGGTCCACCTAGGGGAGTTAGAAAACCCTGATTCCAAGCCATTGGTGCACATAGGCTCCAGTATCCTGATAGAAAGAATGGCGTATGAACCTATTGTTGGTCACCGGCTACCATGGGACTGCATCTCCTCACGATGCTCCACTACCTTGTGGATAGAAACCTTTAGGTCAAAGGCTCTGGGTGTGGCCTCTTGAGAAAACTACCTGTTTCGGTTTGAGCACCCGGACAGTATCATAGCCCTCACACAATTAAATGAATTGATAATTGGCATATAATTGATAAAAGATTTCCTCTTTGGCAAGCTTAAAATTTTACAGAAAATATTTTACTATTTACACAACAATTACATAACTTGTAAATTACAAAAAATTCATTAAAAATAAACATTTGGAATATACATAACTATATCATGAGATAATTTCTAATGATGTATATTTGAAAATAAAGAAAATTTTCTGAAAAGATAACAACACATCAGATAGATAGATAGATATCCTATATAACATTGATGAGTCGGAGTAAACAAAGAGAATCTGTTTAAAGATTTGATTTTGTTTCTAGAGAGGGAAAAAAGTTGTTGAATGAATATGTAAGGGGAAATAAGTAATTTGAAAGGTGGACATTTTTCAGATAGAATACTGAAAGATGATGAACCATAAACAATTATGAAACACATTTATCACCAGGTTTGCGTACTATATATTTCAATGACATTGTGTTGCATATGTGAAGATTAGTGATTTTACCCAAGATGTTTAAGCCTAAATATGCAGTGGCGCAGAACTTGAACGCATCAGTGAATCATGACTTATCATTTGAAAAACTCCTGAATGTTTGGTAAAAAAAAGTCGACTATTCTTGCTAGAGTAAGACTAACTTTGAAATAATGCACAAGACTTATAGTTCAGATGAGTGTTTTTGGTAATACTGAGTTCTCTGAGAAGAACAGTCTGATTACGAAGTCTTTTTGTGTTATTCTAGACAACATCATCACCGCTTGCACCAACTAAAACTGCTATGGATTGATATTTTCTTTTATATACATATATTTGATTATTCTTGACAAGAATGAATAATTTACTGAAAAGTTAACATCAGTTATATCAACATTTCTCGAAATTTGAATGAAGGTTAATTGAAATTAGACGCCAAGTTATTAGATTACAAATGTTACACATCTTTAACAGAAACAAATGCAACATGGGAAATTTAGTGAACGAGTATATATAGTACGAAATTGTTTTTTATCCTTATTTACCTTCGATAATTTTGACTATTTCCCTTTTATTTATTTATTTTTTATTTGAACACATAAATATTGATACAAAGGGGCACCGAATACATATGCGCCACACAAATCTCATTCCATTTGTGTGAGGGCTGTGATACTACCCAGGTGCCCAAACTGAGACAGGTGGTTTTCTTAGGGAGCCACATCCCGAGCCTTTGACCTAAAGGTCTGATTAACAAGACAGTAGAACGTCGTGAGGAGATGCAGTCCCATGGTAGCCGGTGACCAACGATTGATTCATACACCATTTGTTCCATCAGGATCATGGAGCTCATGTGCACCATTGGTTTGGAATCAGGGTTTTCCAACTCCCCTAGGTGGACCCTCTACATCCACCAACCCGGTTAAAGCCCCGGACATTCGCTTTTCGTCCTCTCACTTTCGTGAACAACACTCCCACCACAAGAAGGTAGTGAGTAGGACTTCCCTGGCAGAGGCTATATATTCGCGTGGCCATGTGAGAGTATTTCGAGAGAGAGAGAGAGAGGACTTTCCCCACTCTCGGCTATACCAGGGCATTTGGGGACGATTATTTCCCTAATGAAAATCTAACCAGGTGGCTGAGAGGAACGTTAGAACTAATCAGTTCTCAACCGCTCAAATGATTATTAATACAAACATGATTTGACATTAAAGCTAACAATAATATTACAAAAAAATACGGAAAACAGTACAATGCACAAAGTGTGTTGGGGTTTAAGCCCGCACAACCAAAAATTTTTTTTAAAAAATAGCTCTTATCTAATTAACTGTCTATCATCAATAGATTCATAATATAACCAGCAGTTTGATCTATATCATGACCAAGTTGTATTTTGTTCCTATATCATCTAATATCAATCCAAAATTATTCATGAACATGAAAAGAAAAAAAAACGACAAAATCACACACTTCACATAATTTAATAATTCATACATGAATTTGTTGATAAGCAATGAATATACTATCTATAGTATGCGCTCTTTTCACAATAGCCTTTAATGAACCGCATAATTTCACAAGACTCGTTGACTTTCTCTCTTTTTCTCTCCATCTATCTATCTATCTATTCAGTAAAAATAAGTACATAAATCTTTATTGAAATACCTAATAATAAAAATAAACGTCATTTATTGATCTGTAAAATCCAATATCATATGATAATTATTCACGAGTCAATAAACAAGGTCATGTGATTATTATCGGAATTCATCAATGGACATGAATTAGTAAAACCAATAAAATAAATAAATAAATAAGGACAGATAGTATAGAATCCAATATAAATAATTGAAACCCTATAAGGTTTGCATATATAGGTTTCAAATTGAATCAATCCTTCTCCTAACCCCCCCCCTTTCTACATTGAAGAAATTACATGTAACAACTGTAATAAACATGTAGTTTTTTTTTTAACTGTCACTGTTGTGGTAATAGAAAGTGTACACACTAAACGGAGCTTACTAATCACAATAAAGTTTATATGTACAAAGGGAGGGAATGAAGGTATTAATGAAAGAGAGCTAGTAAATCAACTCATTATTATCCAATTGTTAAAATATCAACACTTTAAAATGGAGTTTTAATAATATTAAATAAAATATTTAGAAAACGACTATCCAAACACTAATAAGATGATAACCCATATAAACATTATCTGTTAGCATCTACACTCTGCTTGTAGCTCCTCCGGCAGTTACTGACGGTTTCAAGCCCGGGTAAAGGAGGAGGGTTAGGTATGGAGTTAGAGACCCCATCCCGTAGAAAACCAACTCGCTAAAAAAACACGCTAACCAGAAAAAAAATTTACACATATACACACCCGATGACAATACTTCGAATGGTAGAGTATAAAAATTTGATCTTTTATGGTGACAAAAATCCAGCATAAATTGGTTAAATGATTTTCATAAGAGATTATAACATCAAATATGCGGAATGCAAAATAAGATAACAAACTGATCAGGAATTAGTGCGAAATAAGTGAATATATAGGAATAATTACTAATAGGGAGATTTTGCTGTGTAGCACTGTTTTTTAAAAAAACAACTATACAACGGCTTCTACTATAAATTGTCATATTTAACACATGCTTCTGGTAACTATAAGTGAATTGCGGTAATCACAGAGGAATTAGATTAACTAATACAGTATCTAAATTATTAAATTCGGTTATAATTAAACACCCAAATAAGCCTCGTGAAGAGAAAACGCGAAATAACCAGGCTGGCTTTAGACCTGGACATAAATGTATTGACTAAATATTTGCTCTTTTCCAGATTCTGGGACAAAGGCATACTCTTTCAAGTTCCACTATGATTGTACAGCTCGACCTTAAGGCAGCGTTCAATTCTGTTGATCAAAGGTTCTGTGGAAGTGTCTGACACTGAAAGGCGTACCAAAGAAGTACACCAAACTTGTACAGGCCTCTACTTGAACTCTACTAGACAAGTTAGTGCTTACAACCAAATGTCGTCAGGACTATTCAACCAATGACAACCTTTTAGAGATAAAACTTTCATCTTCTCACTTGACAGTAATCAATCTGTGTATCAAGTGTATCAAAATAAGATGGAATTGTAGAAAACGAAACGAAAAGAAAAAAATATAACTTCTCCCTAAGAAAAATTCTAAATAATGAAATCACTGAATATCCATTTATCTGAGTATTCAGTGTTTGTGAATATATATGTAAGTGTATTGGGCAGGTTTATTGTATCAAACTACTTATAAAACAAAATGGAGATTATGCATTCCAATTTAAATTGTTACAGTGGAAAGCAAGAGAGGAAATAGTTAACAAGATGAAATGAAAATGAATTACGATATAATAATATCAATTACAGTAAGGAATTTTAAAAAAAAGGAGGGGGAGATAAAAACTGAATCCAATAATAGATTAACATCATCTCTTAAAATTCCATCACAACCATGAAGTTTATATCAACTGACACAAACGAAGCTATGAATTGTTAACGCCTGATCTAATGTCATGTTTCCCTTTAGGTGGTTTATATCAGTATTCCTACAGTTGGTAGGTGTTAGAAGAGATAAGAGGGTATGTCTATTTAATGAACACATCATTTCAAACTCGTTCCCCTTTTATTTCCACTTATATGTAAAGCATAATTAATGTAAAAAGTAACATATATATGAACTGGCACATATTGTTATACCTCAAAACGAGATGAATAGTGAAGGAATCGATTACTTCTATGTGACATGTGCAATAAGGTTATTCAGTTAGTCTGTCAGTCAAAACGTAGAACTTCGTACACAAGTACATCAGTTCGAGTTGCCATACCAAATTAGCACAGAGATGCAGTTGTCCATTCAAATCCCATAGTGGTAGAAGTAGTAGGAGTATAAGCATTATGTGAAAGATTAGAGTTTAAAGATGTTATTCAAAGAGTATAATCCAATGAAATAAATTTGAAAAGGGAAAAAGATAGAGACATGAAGAATTCAGAAGATTAGAGCTTTTGGGGAACACAATGAGTGGATACACCGCCATTGCAAACGATTTTGAGCCATGTCATTCAAGGTCTCTAACCATAGGTTGCTATCATCTCGCGAATCACAAGCAGGTAGTCTACACCTACCAACATGGCTCAGTCCACTTGTCAGTGACTTCATGGATTTGTTCCACGTTTTTGTCTGGCCACCCCTAGCTTTCTTCCAACCTACTCCTACACCATTAAGCACTGCACATCGGGGCAGTGGGTGGTTGGACATACATAACACGTGTCCCAGCCATCTCAACTGATGAAGTTTCACTACTTCATCAATTGATTTACCATCCTTACCTAGAGGTTATTTACATTAATTCAATTCAGTATGAAGTTCCATGTCGTTATCTTTTTTTTTGTCTAAGACGAAATAAATAAATTCGGCAGTTTCATAATCATTCATTATCAAGTACGAATTAGTGTACTTGGCGATGAGTTATATTTGTGTTGTATGAAACCTAGTAACACTTACTACACAAACTTCCAAATTGAAACAGATGGACTGTGGGGGGATTTTTAGCATGCAGCCTAATGTAGTTGAAATTCTGGTATCTTTAACCATTAAGCTATCAACAATCATAAAAAACCAAGCGTATGGAAATGAAATGGTTAAAATGTAAGTAAAGATCAAATACCTGATACATACTGTTATAATTATTATAGAGTTTGTGTTAGATGTTAAGAAAAAAAACATTAGATGTTATATATTTAACATTTAATTATGATTTGATGTACACACTATGAAAATACTTACCTATCAGACTCACTAAAAGATAGATAATGAAATAAATGTTTTAACGGAACAGATGAAAATAGAACAGAATTTTATTGAATCTAATCATAAAAAATGTATAGTACACCTTGATGGAATCAATGGAACTGATGTCTTTAACTAAGAATATCAACATAGAAACGAAACGGCGTTAGATTTGACGTTACATTTTAACCCTGATTATTGAAACAATTAAGATATTATTGGATAGCCGAAAAAGATACCAACGTAAATGATAGATAAAATGGTTGGAGCTCTTCTAACTAAATAACTTCTGTAATATTTTTTTTCAATGAAGGATGTATGTGGCGGAGAAATAATGCATATTTCAGAGCTTCTTAAATGTTAGCACTTAAGTAGTTGAAAGGATTTTTATATTTTTTTTAAATAACCTAACAAAAAAAGAAAGTAATAACCATAGTACATCCACAATGCAAAGGGGAGTATCTGATGATTTAGTTTTCTGGTAAACTGCTTAATTATTCCTGAGAAGCAAGATGGATATATATATATATATATATATATATATATATATAGAGAGAGAGAGAGAGTGAGTGAGTGAGTGAGTGAGTGAGTGAGTGAGTGAGTGAGTGAGTGAGTGAGTGAGTGAGTGAGTGAGTGAGTGAGTGAGTGAGTGAGTGAGTGAGTGAGTGAGTGAGTGAGTGAGTGAGTGAGTGAGTGAGTGAGTGAGTGACTACATATCTTATCGTTAACAATTAAAACATGAACTCCAAGGTAATTTACATGTGCATTATAGACCTGGGAAAGAGGTTAATTTAATAATTGGCAGCAGGTTAAAAAAATTAATCAATACATCTTCAATTTTTAAATCGATATTAAAAATAACCTACCGTCTGTCGTATTGATCTTTATTCAGTGATCTTTGTTGTACACTGCAGCTATCATTTTGATGATTTTCATGTATTAATTGACGATTGGTAGTAGTAGTAGTAGTGGTAGTATTTTTTAGTACATTATGAAGATCTTCATTAGAATTTTCTATAAACGAAAAAACTAAAAAAAATTTGAATCATATCAAATCTAATTAAACAGTTAAGATAAAGCTTACAAAAGAAGGAACATAAGTGGTATATGACAATATCTTATTCTCTACAAAGTAAACTATTTTTACAAGACACTTGACATAAGCCAGTCAGAATTATCAGCATTCAATTCTAGCTTTACAATGTTTTTAATGAACATCCTATCCATTGTGACGACCTAATCAAGTTATTTTGGGTGGAACATCAGTTTCTGAGGAGCTTACCGTATCAAGCAAACTAGTTGGTTGACAGGAAAACAAAAAGCAAGAAACTTTAAGTATGAAGGAGAAATCACGTTATCGACAACAATAGTATGGTTGTATGAGAGTATCATCTCTTGACCGTCAGTCAGTCATCTACGACATAGGACCAGACACATATATGCATCGGTCAAAGTTGTCATACCTCATTTTCACAAGATGAACACCAAGTTCATAAAAGCAGTTACGTCAATGGTTGTGATATAAAAAAGATTGCATATAAGGATATGATAAAACGAGAAAGAATTAGTTGATAGAAATAAAGGTACTAAGTAATATTAATAACTCCGCCTGTAGCTCCTCTGGGGGTTGCTGCCGGTCCCAAGCCCACACAAAGGAGGAGGGTTGGGCATGGGGTTAGCGACCCCATCCCGTAGAAAATCAATTCGCTAAACAAACGCTAACCAGAAAAAATAATTCAAACTCTGCCCTGGGAGTAGAAGGAATAATTATGACGTCTCATGATTAAAGCCGAGTTCATTCGGAAGTCATGAGGCCGATGCACCTTCTTACAACCAGAGCAACAATTTTTATAGGTACATGGAATGTCCGGACAGTGTGGGAGACCGAAAGAGTCTTCCGAATTGCTGCAGAAATGAGAAAATACAATCTGGAGGTGCTTGGAATCAGTGAAACGCATTGGACGCAGGTTGGACAACAACGACTGTCTTCAGGAGAACTTCTGTTATACTCCGTTCATGAAGAAGAAAATGCCCCACATACACTTACTTACTTACTTACTTTACTTACGCCGGTTACTCCCAATGGAGCATAGGCCGCCGACCAGCTTTCTCCAACCCACTCTGTCCTGGGCTTCCTTTTCTAGTTCTATCCAGTTCTTGTTCATTCTTCTCATGTCTGTCTCTATTTCTCGGCGTAATGTGTTCTTTGGTCTTCCTCTTTTCCGTTGACCTTCAGGATTCCATGTGAGGGCTTGTCTTGTGACGCAATTAGCTGATTTCCTCAAGGTGTGCCCAATCCACTTCCAGCGCTTTCTCCTGATTTCTTCCTCCGCTGGAATCTGGTTTGTTGTCTCCCACAGTAACTTATTGCTGATAGTGTCTGGCCATCGGATCCGAAGTATTTTGCGTAGACAGCTGTTGATGAACACTTGTATCTTCTGGATAATGGCTTTCGTATTTCTCCACGTCTCCGCCCCATACAGTAGAACTGTCTTCACATTTGTATTGAAAATTCTAACCTTGGTGTTGGTTGACAATTGTTTTGAGCTCCAGATGCTTTTCAGTTGTAGGTATGCTGCTCTTGCTTTGCCGATCCGCACCCTCACATCTGCATCTGATCCACCGTGTTCATCAATGATGCTGCCCAGATATGTAAAGGTTTCCACATCCTCCAAAGCTTCTCCGTCAAGTGTAATTTGATTGGTGCATATTGTATTGTATCGGAGAGTCTTGCTTTTCTCTTTGTTTATATTGAGACGTACTGCTGTTGAGGCTGCTGCTACACTGGTCGTTTTCTCCTGCATTTGTTGTTGCGTTTGTGATAGAAGAGCCAGATCATCCGCGAAGTCTAAATCGTCAAGCTGCATCCTGCCTGTCCACTGTATCCCGTGATTTCCTCCAGATGTTGACGTCTTCATGATCCAGTCGATCACCAGGAGAAAGAGAAAGGGTGAGAGTAAGCAACCTTGCCTAACATCCCGGCAGAGGCACTGAAAGCAAATGTAACAGCAACTGCCAAGATACTCCACATCCTCTTCAGTAAGATTTGGGATGAAGAACAAGTACCAACAGACTGGAAATAAGGACTTCTGATCAAGATACCAAAGAAAGGTGATCTTAGCAAGTGCGATAACTACAGGGGCATCACTCTTCTCTCAATACCAGGAAAGGTCTTCAACCGAGTATTGTTAAACAGGATGAAGGACTCCGTGGACGCCAAACTTCGAGATCAACAAGCTGGATTTCGTAAGGATAGATCGTGCACAGATCAAATCGCAACTCTGCGGATCATTGTGGAACAATCAATCGAATGGAACTCATCACTCTACATCAACTTCATCGACTACGAGAAGGCATTTGATAGCGTGGACAGGACGACACTATGGAAGCTTCTTCGACACTACGGCGTGCCCATGAAGATAGTCAATATAATACGGAACTCCTATGATGGACTAAACTGCCAAATTGTCCACGGAGGACAACTCGCCGACTCGTTTCAAGTAAAGACCGGTGTTAGACAGACATGAGAAGAATGAACAAGAACTGGATAGAACTAGAAAAGGAAGCCCAGGACAGAGTGGGTTGGAGAAAGCTGGTCGGCGGCCTATGCTCCATTGGGAGTAACCGGCGTAATTAAAGTAAGTAAGTAAGTAATATTAATCTCACTGGCATGATTCAGACCAGATGTTAGTGACTTTATAGTCACGCGGACCCCAACAAAGTAGTCTACATATACCAATGTGGCTCAGACTAGAAGTTAGTGACCTCAAGCACTGATGCCACGTTTTGGTTTGACCGCACGTAACTTTCTTCCATTTGTCTCCAACACCAGTCAGCATTGCGCGTCGTGGTAATCGGTGTTCAGGCACACGTAACAACACGTGGCCCAACCATTTAGTCGATGAAGTTTCACAACCTCATCAACTGATTTGCCATCATTCCCTAATAATCTACGTCTAATCTCACTATTACTTACCTGGTGATCCTACCAGACACAAGCAATATTTCTAATACACCTGTGATCAAATACTAGTAACTTACAAGTATCTTATACTCTTAACGGCCATGTTTCGCGACCGTAAGGCAGAACAGATTCAAATGCTGCTTTTCAGTCGAGAAAAATTATCATTGTCGTGCGCCAATAAGCATGCCTGTGTTCTAAAACCTGACAAACAGTGAATATGTGGTCGATACAACCACGACCAGGTCTGAAGCCAAGCTGATTTTCTCGTGTTTGCAGTTCACGCGTCTTAGTTGTGCGCCCGATAATTATTGAGGCTAGTATTTTAGATACTGTACTAGTCAAAATAATCCCTTTATGTTTATCACAGCATGATTCCGACCAGTTATTTGGGATTATAAATATATTTTTGTTATATCCCAATGAGTAGGAAAATAATATTTCCGACGTTTTGTGACCAAAAGACACTCCTTTAGATTAAATAAAAATACCCGGTTGTTAAAATCTATGAGTAGAATGTTGATGAATCGATTATATTTAAGTATAAAAAGTGTGGCCCCAAATGGTCAAATCCACAAGGCAAGGGAGTAACGTTGAGATGCAGTCTCATGGTAGCCGGTGACCAACAATTGGTTCATATGCCATTTGTTTTTTCACGATTCTGGAGTACATGTGCACCATTGGTTTGGAATCAGGATTTTCCAACTCACCTAGGTGGATCTTCCATATCCAACAACCCGGTTAAAGCACCGGACATTCACTTTTCGTCCTTTCAATTTCGTAGACAACATCAATCTCAATTTTCTGTCAACTACTTAAATAGTATTTAGTGTTACATTGGTACTGCAAATTCGTACATGTGCTTAACACTTAAATGTGGATCATAATACATTTTAGGTAGTAAAAAAAGTGATAAGATGTATTCCAATGAACTTAATGCTTAAAATGTATTATGATAAATATCTATAAGAAAAAAATGCAATAAACTTACCATCATTAACATTCTCTGTAGCAGAGTTAATTGCATTGTTTTGAGGTAATCGGGTATTAGTGAATGATAAATCACTCAGAGATTCGCTGATATTTCCAGTTGAATAGACAACAGCAGAGTTATTGCTGTGATTACTATTACAATTGTAATGATAAGTATTTGAGCGACTATGAAATTCTTCATTACAACTGTTAGGTATAAATGCTGTATCAAAATGTTCATACATCGGGTCACCACTTATGTCCGATAGTAATGAGTTATTATCACAGTATGTTCCAATCACATTCGTATTTCCATATTGTAATGTATTGTTATCTGTAGTTGAGGAGTGCTCTGAATGAGATTGGGAACTTGACTTTCTAACAACAAGAATCGGTGATTTAGATATGTTATCAGATTTTATAGTAGATGATGATGATGTAGGTACAAACTCAGTTATTGTTGATTTATCATTTTGATGACAATAAGGATGATAGTCATTACTATGTAGATTTTTCCCAGTATGGATATGGGGGTGATGATGATGGTGGTGGTGATGGTGAAGATGATGATGATGATGTGATGGATCTAGGTGAGATTGATAATCATGATCTGTAATAGTCTGACAAGTTAATGAGTTGTCATTTGTCGAATCTTTATGATACACACTTGAGCTACAACCAACATTATCTATATTGATCTTTCTTTGATTCTAGCAACGATACAAAACAAGAAAAGTTTAGTTAGAAGGTCGATCTTATATATCAATGGGCAATTATTATAAAAATTTTAGGGAGCAATCTGTAGTGCATCAGTCAGTCATAAACAACGTAAGACGAAGCACATATGTGTATCAATTCAATTTGCTACACCCCTTTAGTACATAGAGAGGAAATTGTCAAGAAAAACTGCATAGTAGAAGTAGTAGCATTATCAGCAGTAGCAAAAAGTTTAGATATAGATAATATGATTCGAGTAGAAAGAATGAATTTATGGAATAGAATAGTAAAATCTAATTTCGAACCTTAAGATCTAATGGAAAACGAAGAGTGAAAAGATGTGGGTTATTGTAACAGATTTTGAGCCATGTCAACCCAATGCCCACAACTACTGGTCACGATAACTGTGAATCTCAACCAGGTAGCATGCATCTACGCACACGACTTAGACTGACAGTTAATGATTCCGTGGAAGGACAAGCCTTCTTGGTTTAGTCACCCCTAACCCTCCTCCAGCCAAGCTCTTACATCGACCATCATCGCCCATCGAGGTAAGCGATTGCTGGGCAAACGCAATACATGCCTTAACTACCTTACCTAGTGGATATTCACTACCCTAAAAATCAGTTTGCCATTCTTATTTAATAGACAATGTCTAACCTCAGAATTGTTCACTCGACGGTCTCAAAATATAAGATCAATGGTTTGAATTTATCTATGGTCAAATACTAATGACCTACGAACTTGTAATGCATGTAAACTTCAGACTTATATATACAGCAGAGTAATCCATCGACGCAGGAACGCGGTTTTTGAAGATTAATTCCTTAAGGCAATTATTGACTCAGTTTATAACTGTGATTGATAATTGAAGAAAAAAAGCATAACTAATTTACCAATTGGTTGCAAATACCTAAGACCTACGGGGAGTCAGTAGGGACTCGAACAACTTAGTGATAACGTCTCAAACTGTGGAACTGGTGTTAGAACCCACAAGGAAATATCAGTCCACTCAAAATTATATGTACGTCTTGATGACAAGTGCCAACTAGCACGAAACCGAGGTTCAAGGTTTGCTACTAACTACCACCGACCACCTAAAGTATGACTAATTTCACGCACACCAACATTGAATACATCAGCTATGATACTTTCATTAAAATATCTGTCTGGTTATCTTAACAAGTTTAAATTTGCATTCATTCAACCGAGAAAAGAAAACAATCGAAATGTAAACACTTACAAGCATAAGTCTATGTGAGGTATCAGAAGACCAAGTAGATTTCTCTCCGATAGAATTTTGGTGAGGAAGATGAGAAACTATTACAGGCTGAGGTGAATTATGAGAAGCGTTAGGAGTATGATGATGACGGACATAATGGTGATGATGATGGTGATTGTTGGTAGTTGATGTTACTGCTGTGCCATCGTGAATTTCATTAGGATGATGGTGATGACAATGTGTAAGGTGAACATGATGATGATGAGGTAATACAAGGGATGATGATGGTGGCGACGAAGTTGAGTTAAAAACCAATTTCTGCCCATCAGTAACAGATGGATCAGGTGAACCAATATATGAAAGACAAGTACCAGTGGATAGAGGATTTTTACTACTACCATTGGACGGTTCATCGATTCGGCAATGATCATTTGCAGTAGACATGATTAAGTGTGACGATATTGGGTTTTCACAAACAGATGAAGAAGGAATAACAACAGTATTTTTAAATGAATTGGAACAATTTGTTTCAGTTAAATCCATAGACAAAGTGGATTGTGCAATGGCTTTCTTAAGACATATTGATGCATTCGAACCAGTGGATTCTACAATTTGATCATATCCACTAAAGAAAAGGCAAAAGCATGAAACAGCACATTTAGAATGAACATATTTTCGAAAAAATCGATAAGATAATAACCAGTCAGTCATTCAGTTATATTTAAACAAGGAATTCAGCATAAATTTGTCGGTCAAAATAGTTCCATTTTACAGTATACGCTAATGATATTAACAACAAAGATAGATAATGAAGATTTCACAATCATAGTTCAGGAAATCTAACATCGAAAACAAAATTTATTTATTTAAACACATAAATATTGGTACAAAGGGGCACCGAATACATATGCGCCGCACAAATCTCATTCCATTTGTGTGAGGGCTGTGATACTACCCAGGTGCCCAAACTGAAACAGGTGGTTTTCTTAGGGAGCCACATCCCGAGCCTTTGACCTAAAGGTCTGATTAACAAGACAGTGGAACGTCGTGAGGAGATGCAGTCCCATGGTAGCCGGTGACCAACGATTGATTCATACGCCATTTGTTTCCTCAGGATCATGGAGCTCATGTGCACCATTGGTTTGGAATCAGGGTTTTCCAACTCCCCTAGGTGGACCCTCTACATCCACCAACCCGGTTAAAGCCCCGGACATTCGCTTTTCGTCCTCTCACTTTCGTGAACAACACTCCCACCACGAGAAGGTAGTGAGTAGGACTTCCCTGGCAGAGGCTATATATTCGCGTGGCCATGTGAGAGTATTTCGAGAGAGAGAGAGAGAGGACTTTCCCCACTCTCGGCTATACCAGGGCATTTAGGGGTCAAAAACACTTCTTTGACAGTAATTACTACAAATGTATTTCAGTCAGTCAGTCAGCTACAACGTAGGACCAGGTATTTTTGTATTTAAAATGAAACATATCAACACTGAAATATTCAAAACAATTTTTATTCAGCTAACTAACTTGAATCGAATAGAAATATTAGCACAAACTGCATAAAATTTCAACAACTCTTCAATGTGGTTATGTATTAGTTCTCGGAATTTAATATGATATCAAATATGAAATGACAACAACTGATGTTGTTACTATTGTGTTCACAAGTGTATTCCACTAATTTACAATGATTCTGTATCACAAACATTAGAATCATATACATTTATTCACAATTGTCTGGTGGCTTGCAACAAATTAACTTTAAGAAATACTGATGAAAAATAATATTTTCTTTTCTATCTAAAATAAAGTAAATCCTCAATAAACCAGAAACCAATCACAATGTACAAATAGTAGTAAGCATTCAATACCAAGATTGATTGAAGTTAGATATTAACACCATTGGATGCCGAATCAGTAATCTAGAAGTTAAGCGTTCACGGGCGAGACTGAAGGTCTTGGATTCGATTTCCGCGTGCAGGGTCGTGAGTGTGCACTGCTGAGAAGTCCCATACTGGGACGAAATGGCAGTTCAGTGCCTCCATGTTTTTAATGTTGGTTTAACTTAGATTGATTCATAATTTCAATAAAATATCAAGAAAGGCATACTGGTAAATAAACATACCGAAGAAGATTATGATAATGCACTACCAATGGTTCATATAATGACATATCTGATTGCAACAGGCTTGAATTAGTACAACGGTTAATAGGTAAACTAAACGTGTGAACATAAAACCATTTTTGACCCAATTTTACGCGATATATAGGACAATCGAATAAATGACGATTAGAGGAGTTTTCAGAGGGAATTAAACTATTAGAATTAGATGATTCAATTTTTTTATGTTGTTGGTTTCCAACTTCCCCATCATCGTTGTTAATTGGCAATAAACTTTGTTCAAGCAAAGCATTACGGGCATGAGACCAACGTGATGCTTCATTAAATACTAAAATGTAAATAGACAAAACAATGACAATTCGAGTAGAAATATATATTTTTTAAAGTATATTTCGTATTTTATTATAACTCTATTTCAGTCAGTCACAACGCAGAACTTCGTACACAAGTACATCAATTCGAGTTGCCATACCACATTAGCACAGAGATGCAGTTGTCCATTCAAATCCCATAGTGGTAGAAGTAGTAAGAGTATAAGTAGTAAACCGATAGATTAGGGTTTGAAGTTATTGAAGGAGTATAATACAGTGAAATAAATTTGAAAAGAGAAAAAAGATAGAGACATGGGGAATTCAGGAGATTAGAATTTAGTAGAACACAAAGAGTGGATGCACCTTCGCCATTGCAAACGATTTTGAGCTATGTCATTCAAGATCTCTAACCACCGATTGATATCATCTCGCGAATCCCAACCAGGTAATCTACACCTACCAGCATGGCTCGGTCCAATTGTTAGTGACTTCATGGATTTGTGCCACGTTAAAAAGAATAAAGAGATAACTCTTTATTTAGATGAAGATTTGTCATTAGTTGGAAATTCCAACAATTCTGTCAGTTTAATTTATTTTTATGACTACTTTTTTCCCTTATCTTACCACTACAGTAGTACCTTTGGATAATTGAAACATATCTATTCCCTAAAAGAAATCTATATACTTGAACAGAATCATACCTGAGATGAATTCTGCTAATTCTGCCAGAAATTACATCTGTATATTTCATAGAATTAACTTCCTATATACGAAAAAATATGCATATTTACAACTGGATTGTTTGTTTGAAATTTACATATCTACTATCTCATAAAGCAGTGGTAAATTGATGGTTATAAAGCACTCAATTTTAAACTAGTAAATCTTATGTATGAATCTGGTTCCATCTACTTCGATTTGGACAATCAAGTACCACTAGCCCTCCATAAACGATAAAATGTCACTCAAAAATCGATTACACAAACCATCTCTTCTTCTAGAGGTACCTGAAAAGGAAATTGGGTTAGAAATGGTCTTAATAACCTGAGAGCGTGACTGCAGTGCCCAAGGGACAACTGCTTGAGGTCGGTCACACATGACCTTTTTGTGGGTAATTGTCGTGTTAGCTCCGTACTTGTTGGGACTTTACCGCCGGAGACGGATATCCGTGGAATAAGGTGAGGTGTGCAGTTTTAGGGTCGACCTTTTCTAACCCCACCCTTCCTTATCGGTAGGGAGCGTCGCTGTTACGCTGGAAGAAACACTTTACTTCCGTCACACCTCTGTACAGTCAGCAGTACGACTTCGCCTTCGAACCTTGGGTTTGCTGCTTTCAGTCTTACCGCTCTTCAACCGACCTGTCTAGCATGGTAGGACCTTGACGAACAATTGTTCCAGCCAGTATAGCTCGATTGGTTCATCACGATAGGCAAACCCGACCACCACATCAAGGAAGCAGCAACAGTAAATGAGTTACTACACCATAGTTAATAATTATGAATAACAATAAATGACTAGTGGGAAAGGAGAATTGTTTAAGTAAAGAGGGAAAAAACAACTTGATTTGAATAAATTATAGTTTACTTCTAGAAGTATGCTTCTCCCAAATTGCTAAATCGCCATCTTGAATTCTACTAGTCCAACTATCACCAGTTTGTAAATTAGCATAATTACTATCATTGTCATTGTTATCTAGGCAAAAACTGTGTTGACTTGGAAGGTTTCTACATAGAAAAATAAGTGAATAAATAAAATTACCAAGGTAAATAGTTGCTAGTCCAAAAAAAGATCCACAATATCTACAAAAGTATAAAGAGTATAGGCAGATGTATGCTATTTTTACACACAATTAACATTATAAGAGATTGAATGAAATATCTTGAGTGACAATCAACAGTCACTAGACTATGGTTCAGTGTAGGGTCAAAGACTAGATTGGCAAACAAAACACTTTTAGCTTACGTGATACAATCTCAAAAACATAGAATTGGAAAAACTCAGATGATATTTTTTTTAAATAACTGAGTTTAATCATAACCCAATATACTACACAGGTAGATGTTTGTTTCATTAGCGAATCTAATAGAAGTATCATTAACACCTATTTAAAGAACTGAAAAAATGTCAATTTTGTTTTATAAGGATCGTTCATAACCAGGACTTTGTTATCGACACAAGAGTGCCCGCAATTATACGTCAACACTTTCATCCAACCAATAAGAACATAAGTTTGATCCATGACTGTTTAATGGAAAAATACTACACTTTATGTATGTTGATCGTTATTGATATTTAAACAATTTTAACTTGAAATCAATTTTATGTTGAATACATGTCAAAACGGCGTAGATACTGCTACGTTTGAAGGGTTTACAATATAACCTAGGATCGACAAACAACAGGCTAAGCTAAGCTATTCCACTACACCTCAACCCTGCTAACTAGGGGGAGAAGAACAGATTCAGGTGGGAAAAACACATGTTCTACAAACAGCCGAAGCACGAACGAACAAGCACACAACTCATGGGTATATAAACAGTACAAAAATGTCCTTGGAAAACGTCGCAAAATAGCGTACTAAAAGAGAAAATGAATCAATGACATTTAAGATCCTTCCGGGTGAAAAAAACTGAAGGTAAATGTGGGCGGTTTGGCGCAAAAGTAATAAATTCAAATTTCCATGATAAAATTACGAAGATGGGACATTGACCAAATGATTTCAGGGGATCTAGCGCCCCGAACAATACCTACCACCAGTCCGGTTTAGGCGCCAGACATTTGCCCCTCGTCCTCCCAATTTCATAAATAGCATCGCCATAAGACCTGCTTATGCCTATTACCCCTCATGGAGGAGCATAGGCCGTCCATCAACATTCTCTATCCAACTCTGTCCTGGGCAATCCCTTTCATATCTGCTTTCAATCCCCGGATCAGTGTGTTCTTTGGTTTTCCTTTTTACCATTTCCCTTCAAGATTCCAAGGTGGCGCTTGCCTCGTGACACGAGAAGACAGTGAGTAGGAATTCCCTGGCAGTGGCTATATACGCGTGGTCATATGAGAGCATTTCAAGAGGAAGAGAGGACTCCCTCTCTCTGTCATACCAGAGTATATGGGAACGAATGTAAATATGCCTTCCACACACATACACCCTACTTAGTTAAATTGGAATACACTGTGAATACATTATCAAACAATTAAATTGATATAAATCGACCTTCGTATTATCAGATAACTAAGAATTAGAGTAACTATTACATGATTCGTTGGGACCAAAATTAACACCTAATTTCTTCCCACTCTAATGAATTACGATGTCGCAATATATGTAATGTACAGTATATGTATACCTTGTGTACATGAAAACACGTAGGGTTTATAATTTTCATATGGCTAATCAAACTGAAAACAGTACCACAAGTGTGAATTCTTAATTCGACAATTGGAAAGTAAATACTTAAAACTACTGAAATATTATTCAACTTGATTTTTATAAAAATAAAAGTAAATTGTGTGATATCTTCATCGGGTTGTGTCGAGGATGTCAAATCCCCAGAATTTACTTGATAAATGGCTTAGTTTTGTAATTTTATTTTGAAAATTTGAATTTAGCTGTTTTCGCGCCAAAAGCGCTCTTTTATCTTCACGTCATATTTCCCACTTTTAAACTATCTTAAACGCTATTGGTCCATCGTTTCTTTGAGTGTGCTGTTTTATAATGATGCCCAAGAACAATTTGTCGCTGTATATATACGTTTGAGTTTTTCCCCTTATGACTTGCATGTACTCAGCTGCTTACGGAATATATATTCCCCTACCTTGCCTTGGACTTCTTCATTTGGTTAGCGGGGCCTGGGGCAACAGATTAGATTAGCTTATCGTGTCATTGTGTCATTGGCCTTCGTTCGTTACCGCGAAATCGACTTAGTTCAAGCATATCAGGTTAGTAGTGGTTAAAGCAGTTGACTTCAAATCTTTGAGTCAAACAAATACACACACACGCACACGCATGAATTACTTATTTCAACTAGTACAACTACTATTTACACACATGGACAAATAAAAAGTAACTACCAAGTTGTATCAAACAATGTTTTAATCGGTTAACTAATTTTCTATACACATATCAAGCGAAAAATAATGATAAACACTATGAGCTTACTTGTCATAATATAATATTTTTCCACTTCGATTAACCACAGTTATAATAACATCCATTAATCGTTGGTGATAATTCCAAACACTTTGTCCTTTATTATCCTCTGGCAGAATAACATCTGTAGGCAAATTTAAGGCAAAGCCTCCATCAGATTTTGTACATAATTTTGGAAAATCAAACGGTGCTAATTCACTTCCCTTATTATTACTAGTAGTATTACTGTCATTATTGCTCTTATCAACTGCATTATGTTTTTTGTTATGTTCATTTGAATTAGGAGAAGAATCGCTAGAGGATGGATTACGCAGATGAGGAGAATTGGAATAGTGAAATGGAGGCTATGAAGAAAAAAATTGTTGAAAAGAAAATCACCATAAGGGTTCAACAATCATAACAGCAAAAACATCTCAAATTTACTTAGAAAAATTATCGAACAAAACATAGGATTCAGTGACACTAGAAAATTCAAACTGTCGAAAATTAAACAACCAAATGAGGATATTACGCAGATATATAGAGTCTTTTGATGATATCGTGAATCTTTATCAAATGAGGTAGCTAGGGTATTTATTGCGCATACTTAACCATCTCATACCTCGACGGGCAATGTTAGTTTGTATGGTAGTAAGTTTGAAGGAGAAAGGTGGTGACAGCGCAGCCAAACCAAATCGTGACATTAATTTATAGATTTACTAACTTTTGAACTAAACCATGTTAGTAGATGCAGACTAGTTGGTTGGTATACACATGGTAACTGTGACCAGTGATTGAAGAAATTTAGTGACATAGTTTAGAGTTCATTAAAATAGAGCAAATATATTCACTCTTTATCTTTCTCTACACCTTGAGTTCGAATATTCCTATAAACACACAATGTTATTTTGTCTTTTCGAAGTATAATCTCAGTATTTAGTTTTTCTTCATCATCATCATCCTGACTGACTGATAATTGTGAATTCCTTGCTATTCATTTTGTTGATTTTATCTTATCGTGCGAGTGTGATATGACAATGACTAACATACATTTATACCAGGTTGTACGTTGATTATGACTGACTGACTCAGTAAACTCGCCTTAATTTTCCAAAGAATGTTAATCTAAAATCAGTTTGTGATGCAAACTATCTCTTCGAATTTAATATTTGTCCAAATAAGTTAACAATTATTATTGATCAATATAAATCAAGATAGATGATTGTAAAACCGTTGATCATGGGAAATTAAACACTCAACGCTAATTAAATATCAACATGAATCTCTAAAAAAAAGTGTCCACATTTTGTATATAATAGATAGCTGCAGTGCACGGACTACTCCATAAATACCGTTCGTTAACTTGGAAAAATAGTGCATGATACTCTATCGTATTGATTGGTTATAACTGATGCGGAATGTTAACAAGTGTGAAACTGTCTAGAAATCATTATCTTTGTAATCAACGAACATCAAGGTGTAGTTACCACTTCTTTCATCTACAACAGCATAAAATATATATTAGGTTTATTAGTGAAGAGCATGTGACGCATCAAATGGAAAATAACCTACCATACAATCCTCTCCGCTTGAGTATTGAATAACAAGAGTGGACTGAGGTGAATTAGCAGGAACATAATCCTTTTGAGAAGTTTCATCATTGAGTGCTGAACCTTAGGAAGAATAAGAATTATTAGACAAAATAATAATATCAATAATAAATGAAAATGAAACCAAGTCGAGTTCCCACTACAAAATCTGCACGTATGTAAGTTGAAGTGCATAAAACCGATCAAATCAAAATCCAATAACTTCATAAACCAATCCCATGTGTTGGTTTGTTTGTCCAAAGTCCTTTTCCAGTTTACGTGAATGTTAAACAACATAGTACTTCGAGACAGGTGGTGGTTATGTATCTTTATTAAATGTCCCAAACACATCAATCAGTAAAGGTTTGTGGACCCATCACACGATTTGCTTCCTAAGCTTAACACTGAGCCTTATTTCTTTGTTTATTTGGTGATTCCACCATTTTTAAGCACTGCTTCGAAAACACGTGAGTAAAAAAAGAGTACCTTCGGATCCTATGATTCCCAATTCGTTAAACATACCGCCTTCTTGTCTGCTAAATAGGTCATGCAAGCATCATGTATATGTGCGCAGATTTTGTTAACCGCTGCCGCCGACATATCAGAACCGGTGAGACCTTCAACTCAACTGAATGATGGGTAGAAACGTAAGTTCAATATTATTGAACCACTGATCAGAAACAAAATGAAATGACCTAGATTAGTTTAAGATTTCAGTAAAATTCAACTATCTCTATAACCCTTACATTGAAGATAAAGAAAGTAGAAAATGCTCTTCAAAAGAGAGGTTTTACTGTTTGAAGAAAGACCAAACACTGTTGCGAAATTGTTGTGTACATACTTAACAAATGATTTAGAAACACAGAAAATAGCAGCATAGCAAAGCTAACCTGACAAAACGAGTTGATATAAAAGTTGAATTTGCCGTTTTTGGTATAATCAGCTCAAAAATGTAGCAATCCAGAATATAATGGGAATTAAGTATCATTTCCAAGATATTCCCAACAGATATATTCAAGAAAACTGACGCGATGCCCAAAGATTGGACTTACCAGCTAAATATCCTAACTGATTGGGGGATGAGTGATCTACAAGTTGATTGCACCAACCACTTATGGAATTTTATCAGGTTTATTTCTTGTTAGTATTCTGTATGTAAACGTCATTTTATCACTTAAGAAACTTTTTCTTCTGGCTTAATGGTCTTGTCCTCGGTTTCTAGCCATTGGGGTTAGAGTTAGGTCTCATGAGCAGCCATCACCAAAGCACATTATATAATTGCTTATCATTTATCGATTAGCATCCCATTCATTGATTTTAACAATTGAAAATTTCGTCAAATTAATGATTAGAAATCTTTTTTATACCAAGAATATCCGAATTAAATGTTTATTATTTTTCGACGTAATACAAACATGTTCTGCTAACATATTTCAAAGTAAATCATTATTATGGAGAACACTATTGAACGTAAAGCATTAATCTCCATAATACACATGGATTCATTTTTTTGTATCTTAAGTCTTGAATATATACATATATATTTGTACTATTTATTTTGTAATGTAGCGACTTAAACCGAATGTCATGTTTGATATGACAGTAAAAGCTAATTCCAGTAATTGATTCTTTTTCTAAATTGTTGCTATGGCTTTATTTTCAAGATTCCTACTAATCAAACGTCCTACTTTCCATAATTAATGAAACAATGTTAAACAATGATCAAATTTTAGATAATCATATCTTCTGTGCACATCTGTCCAGTTATTGAAGACAGAAAATGGATTAGATTTTTCTTCTTACTCGGTTTCACAGTTTTAAAAAAAATTCTCAAAAAAAAACAAAAATTACATACATATTGGGGCGAAAAAGTAGGCAACGAACCTCTTAAACTAGGTGAAATATGCTCTTCATTGCACGTAATGGTAGTTGGTGATAAAGACAACTGATAGATTGGGCTAATTTTAGAATATAATGATAGATTATCAGAGTTTACAGGAGACAACTGATTCTTTGTTGAAACACTGAAACCTCGATGTTCAAAACAACCAGGTACAGAAGATGGTCTAGTACAATGAGATTGAGAGGCAGCGATAGCAGCCATTTTTGCAGGGGGATGATATAAATTTTTCGAGACAGATTGCAATGCATTCACATCTAGACTATGTTGAAGTTCATTAGGAGTGATCATAATTATCGAATTAAAAAACGCAACACAATCCACTCTGTCTTCTTTAACACCAAAGTTAATGGCCGAAAAGTCATGTACATACCTAGATATAAAATTAAAACAAAGGAATAAAACAGGTGAAAAACTAACAAATTAGCAAATAAGAAGACTACGTACAAAACTAATTTATATTTGATTATCTTTTCTACAAACTACGTATATTGTATGTAAACTTATTTGGAAGAAAACATTAGTCTTTCTTCTCCAGCTGACGATAACCGGAATTTCAAAAAGTTTCGCTTATTTTTTAATCCATATGGAGAATGAAACTATCTAAGTAATTTGTTCAATCAGTTCAAAATATCAACCATTTTAACACATTCCTCGGTACTTAGTTATGATAAAGCAAAAATTACTGACAATTAATATGATGTAAGGTACCTAGTTAATTTTCACATGTACTGCTAGAGTTATTAACAACTTTTTTTATGGCGACTTCGTAAATCGTCAGGGTTTACGACAGTCTGTCATTAAAAGACATACCAGTGAAGTACATAAACCTTGAGCAGGCTTTCTACACAAACGTAACCAGTCGAGCAAGAGCATTCGGTGAACTGCGTTGTCCAACCAACCCAATTTTTTTTTACTTCCTAGAAAACATCCTTTTGGGAATAAGGCTGTAAAGTCAATGAAAAGTCACTGGGCCCTAGCCAAGTCATCCGGAAGTTGGGTCACTAAATACCAAACAGTTAATCGATCGTCGTCAGGGTCAAGGACAACCTGCGCGCATCAGTCAACTGCATACCATGGATTGGTTCATGAGGTTGTGGTCGAACTGTTTCTTGTGCCTTTTGTCATCAGTAATAATTCCTGTAATATCGTTGCGTTTGTTCTGCACGGTCATCAAACCTTGATACGACGAAAGGGTAGTTCATGTTACGTATCAACCGCAAGGTGTAAATTCGACAACTATGAGATTACACCATTCCCGTTCAACTCGAGTGGGGCCCCCAATCGTTGACACAGATCACCTATATTGGTGATATACAACGCTCTTATAGTCTAATTTCTCCGGAGTTGATTTCCTACGAGAGGACTTAATTATTTGGTGACGGTACGCCAAGTGGTAACTTAACAGATTTCAGTGAGAATGATATATGAAACTGATTCTTTCCGATTATGACGAGTAATCACATCCTGAGAAAAATTGAGAGTTTGGTAGTATGAAATAGCGAATGCATTCATGGTAAGTAATTAATAATTTGATGTGAGGAACGACTCATACAAATCTTAATGCTAACTTCATAGTACATAAATTATATAGAAATTGATATATTTTGACTAATCTTTGGAGTCAAATAAATCCTTCAACCAGTCATTGGTTTTCACTACCCTTTATAGGATTTGAGGCTTAAGTGCCAGATACGAGTCAGTCAAGAGGTTCCGCGACGTTAGTCCACTGTAAAGGGTAAAATAAGAAACTCATCGACGAGAACAGTTTTGCTTTAAGTCTGTGAAACCTAACCCTATTGGTCGGAAGACGCTCGATGACTGCTTCACATGTAACATGTAAGCAGTGTTGAGGTTGTGCACAGAATGTTCAAATCAGTCACTACATGACCATTAAGAGTAGAAGATACTCGCAAGTTACTAGTATTTGATCACAGATGCCTTAGAAATATTGCTCGCATCTACTGGGATCACCGAGGAAGTAATAGTGAGGTTAGACACATGGTATTAGGAAATGATGGTAAATCAGTTGATGAGGTTGTGAATCTTCATCGACTGATGGTTAGGTCACGTGTTACGTATGCCTGAACACCGATTACCACGACGGGCTATGCTGACTAGTATTAGGGATGGTTGGAAAAGAATTAGGGGTGGCCAAATCAAAACGTGGCATTAGTGCTTGAAGTCACTAACTTGTGGTCTTAGCCATGTTGGCAGATGCAGACTACCTAGTTGGGGATCGCGTGACTTTCGTAACCAGTGGTTGGAGACTCTAGGTAACATGGTTCAGAATCGATCACAATGGCGTAGGTGCATGCACTCTTTATCTTCCCTTAAAACTTAAGATTAAAATTGCATCACAACGTTCTTCCTTCCTATACTATATCCTTATATACAACCTTTTATATACTATCACCACTAAATTAACTATTTCTATGAATCTGGTGTCCATCTTGTTGTGCTAACGAGGTATGGCAACTTGGACCGATGCATGTGTCCTGGTCCTACGTTGTAGCTGACTGACTGACTGAGTGGTCGAGTTCGTGTACCTGGATAACTGTAAGTGCTGGTGGTGGCGTGAGTGACCAGACCAATTCATGAATAGTCAAAGCCAGAATGATTAACGCCAATCTGGGTCATCATTGGTGCCTTCGTGATATTAGTCTAGCTGTACAAGACCGTATCTACAACGCCTCGGTGAGAACAATTTCGCTCTATCCTTGTGAAGCGTGGTCCCTTCGAGTTGAGGATGTTAGACGACTCTCTGTGTTTGATCATCGTTGTCGCCGAAGGATTGCTGACAACCGGTGGCAACACCATGCTAGTATTGCAGAGGTTTGTCATAGTGTGTTCGGGCAGTGATAATTCAATTGGTGTTACTATCTTGAGCACTGACTTTGGTGGCTTGAACATGTCTCACGAATGTCGTTATTAAGAACTCCACGTCGTGCATTATTTGCGGACGCTGGGAGTGGTTGGAGAAAGCAGAGGTGGTCGATGCATGACACCGTGTCGTGGTATGGAAGCTATAAAGGACTGGTTTCTGTTGGTCCTTCACAACTCCTTGATTGGGGATCTAGAGATGGCGGCGAGACTAAAGAACATGGACGAGCCAATCAGAAGTTTTCGTGGGTTTTCAAGGTCACGGCGCTAAGTTCGGTACCTGACGCTTACGTACGGTTGGTTTACAACTGATTTTAGAGAAAACATGATAATTAAGCGTTTACAAGATAAGTTATCATAAGATTTTGGCGCAAAATTCAATTATACATTTGGATAGAGTTGTGGCATTATAGCTGATGTCAGTTCGTGATGGAAACCCTAAGTATAATTCCTAACCTTAACTATGAACTGTAAATCATAATTTGAATTCTTCACACGCGTTTATAACCCTCATTTAGTCTTAGTTATTACATTGACACTCTCAGATTCACTCTAGCGTCGCTCAAATGCCGTCCATTATTTATAGTCTCATCTTTAACCTTAAACCGTATTCCTAAACCTTAACCCTAATCCTAAACCCTAAACCATACCAACATACCGACAACACTAAAACTATGTGATCGAGGCTGAAAGAATTTTCGGGACTTTATCATGGTTTCAGAGGTCGGCTACTATGGAGCCACAAGGATGAGCTCCTATGCCGTATGCACTATGATTTTAGAACTTCTGAACCTATATCTGACCTTGATAAGTTTTTGATTCATGTAAAAAAACAGTATCACCTTTAATTTTTGAGTTTTGTATAATATATTTTCACTGTATGCTAACTGTCTTCTGATTGGCTAATATTTCTCAAGGTCATTTAAGATTCGTTCAAAGGTCGTCCATGTTCTTTAGTCTCGACGCTTTTTTTCACTTTCTTCATGATAGCAGACGTAACTGAAAGAATTCTTGCTGTGTATTCCTACTAAACGAACTGTCCTATTATTACTATTATTCCACTCACACACTAATTTCTGATCATTGTTGTTCCTTTTCATTAAACGCACTTTACATGCTCTATCTCTCTACCTCACTGTTGTGAAGCGCATATATCTTGGTGTCCTTTTGTACCAATGTTTATATATTCAAATGACAAATGTTCACAACGGTTATGAGAACGACGACAGACAGAACCAAATGTCAGACAGCAGTGAAACTACGTCTGTACCAGACTTGTGGAACGTGTCGGAAATATCCTTACTTCTGTAGTTTTCATCCTAATCCTCCTATTAGGTTTCCCTTACTGATCCAACAGCGATGTATCCTTAATTCTACCCGATACGAGGTGGCTTTCAATGTACGACTCACACATTTATCTGCGCTAGGAACTTAGTATGCTACCTAAAGGCTCACTATATATTTGTAAAGCAACTTATTTAAAACTAGTGAGGGAAGAAACTGAACGAAACTTCATAAGTTTGTGGCAGCTTTGGCATTATCAAATTGAGGACTAGGTTTAATGAAGCATACTTTCGCAACTCCTAAACACTGATATGACTAGGATCCTGACGTAATGTTGTAAATAAGGATAACTATGCAAGTCACACCATCACATGATGTCTCGAAACACGTCTGTTGAAGTAGTACAAAGACAACCCCCAAATTGGTAGGAAAATCGCAAAACCTAATTTTTAAAATTTCAACCGAATTTTAAGGTTTTATTTACCAGCAAATATATATAATATTTAAAACCCAAAAAAAATATACAAACGGCAGTTCATATGTTGCAGTAACGTACCTCTGGTCACATGTATGTGTTCTGTAATGCAGAGCATAGATTTTAACGTATATCCGGTGCATCCATTACTTTGATATTTGCAAATGTAAGCGCTTTAATGTGAAAAGATACACAAAGCCACGAAAAATACTAATGGCTGTTTTTTGAAATAGCAAGTTGGTAGTTCAACTGTCCACTAAAACAAAATAAGCGGTACACCAAGATTTTTGCACGTTTTTCACCCTGTTAATCAATATTCCAGCTTTTCTAAACATAAGGATCCTGATTGTCGTCAAGCAGGATTCACCTGTAGCATGTCAAACTTACAATTCGGGTTGCCGATCTAAGAAACGAAAGCTAGATAGCTGCTAATCCTCAAACTTTGTTTGACAGAACTAGAGGATCTTTTGACCTTTCAAGTAGTAAACGGGCACTTTTGCAATGGAGAGGCAAGGGTTTTGTGACATTTCTACTGTAACTTAAGGTTAAAATAAGTCAGTTATTAACAGTGAAAGTGTAACCGTCATTCAGAAAATGTCCAGACCTTAAGCTTTGCCCTTGAAAACCATGGCCCAGCCGAGAAAATTGTCACAATAGGGATTGTGACCACATAAATGACATAAGAAAATCGCAAGTTTACATGAACATGCTTAATCTGCTTAAGTATCTTATCAACTCCAAATTTGCAGAAATTCCTAATCAGATAGACGACCTAATTATTTACTTGGATGGTTTTACTCCAGAAGTCTATCTTCAGTCTTCAGTAATAAGGATAGTAGGTTGATGAACCTGTGTTAATCCTGACAGTTTTCCTTCCAGCTATCTAGCAGCTATCTAGCTTTCGTTTCTTAGATCGGCAACCCGAATTGTAAGTTTGACATGCTACAGGTGAATCCTGCTTGACGACAATCAGGATCCTTATGTTTAGAAAAGCTGGAATATTGATTAACAGGGTGAAAAACGTGCAAAAATCTTGGTGTACCGCTTATTTTGTTTTAGTGGACAGTTGAACTACCAACTTGCTATTTCAAAAAACAGCCATTAGTATTTTTCGTGGCTTTGTGTATCTTTTCACATTAAAGCGCTTACATTTGCAAATATCAAAGTAATGGATGCACCGGATATACGTTAAAATCTATGCTCTGCATTACAGAACACATACATGTGACCAGAGGTACGTTACTGCAACATATGAACTGCCGTTTGTATATTTTTTTTGGGTTTTAAATATTATATATATTTGCTGGTAAATAAAACCTTAAAATTCGGTTGAAATTTTAAAAATTAGGTTTTGCGATTTTCCTACCAATTTGGGGGTTGTCTTTGTACTACTTCAACAGACGTGTTTCGAGACATCATGTGATGGTGTGACTTGCATAGTTATCCTTATTTACAACATTACGTCAGGATCCTAGTCATATCAGTGTTTAGGAGTTGCGAAAGTATGCTTCATTAAACCTAGTCCTCAATTTGATAATGCCAAAGCTGCCACAAACTTATGAAGTTTCGTTCAGTTTCTTCCCTCACTAGTTTTAAATAAGTCAATAAAATAATAAATCATGAGCTCACGTAACTAATTCGTCTAAATCAGCTTGCAGATAACAACGATCAGTCTCATTTCTTATTGTTCTCCAGATTTTAACATCATCCGCAAACAATAATGTCGACGACTTAAGTAATAAAGGTAGTTCATTAACATACAGAAGGAAAAGTAAACGGCCTAAGATGGTGCCTCGAAGTACACCACTTTTGACCGGTTTCCATTCGGATAGTGTTACATTTACCCTCACTCTCTGTCTGCGGTCACATAAGAAGCTTTCTATCCATTCCTGTACAGCACCTGTTATTGCAAAGCTCGAGAGCTTCTGCATATGACTTAAGTGTCAACTACAAATTAGGAAAATAAGGCAATTTAGTCCTTATATGTAGAGAGCCTATTATGTCTGTTTGGTTGAAACAATAGTTCCTCAAGGTCCTACCATGCCAGTCAAGTCGGTTGAAGAGCGGTGAGACTAAAAGCAGCAATCCCAAGGTCCGAAGGAGAAGTCGTACTGCCGACTGTACAGAGGTGTGAAAGCAGTAAGGTGTTTCCTTCAGACAACCAGCATGACAGCGATGCTGCCTTCCCACAAGGAGGGATGGGGTTAGAAAAGGTCGACCCTAAAAATGCACACCTCGCCTTATCCCACGGACTTCCGTCTCCGGAGGTAAGGACTTTTGAAGAACGGAGCTAACACGTCAAAAATCCCCCCACAAAAAGGCCGTGCGTGACCGGCCTCAAGCAGTTGTCCCTTGGGCACTGCGGTCACGCTCCCAGGTTGTTATGACCAACACTAATCCAACTTCTTTTTCAGGTCCCTCAAGAAATACCCTTCCACGGTGTGGGCAGCCAGGAAGTGATATTAGCCCTCATACCCTTAACTGCACACGAGACCAAGTTGGTCACTTTCAAATCCTTCCTACACCTAATGACTCTCTTATCTCCACGACTAACCCTTCCCACGTCCTTTTATCACCTCGTACCACTAGGGCAAACGATTCGAGTACACGGAACGTTATTCCTGGTCTCTTGAAACCACGCTCTAAACTACAAGTAGGAACTTTTAATGTCCGAACATTGTGCCAATTAGGACAATAATAATGATATATTTCTGCATTAGCAGGTACACGCCATTTTTACAGGCATGATCTACAATTTACAACATATACTGGTCCACAGTATGCATCTCAAGCGAGGTTGTTTAGTAGTTATAATCTATAAAAGTTGATAGCAGTTCATTCGTTCAGATATAATGTGTTTTCATAAGAATAAATTTCCAAAGGGGCATAGCGTCCACGTTACATACCAGATCTAATCTCGACAAAAAGTGTAATAGGGTTTCCGTCGTGCTAAGTATTTATGTAATGCAGCTTTTTAAGTTTATAGTTGTTTTAAAGTAGGCTTGTGGAGCGCCTGGTTCGAGCTATGACCTTGGGAAAGCGCGTTCGTCGAGCTTGTTCCAGATGTCCGAAGTTACATAGCTTCACCCTCAGAGCAAGATTTTGAAGAGAAAAAATAAAAGAGACACCGAGGAGCAGCAAGGCATTTGGATATGAGCGATAATCAATGCTTAACATTTATTAGTGGAACAGATGGAGGTATGATAAATTATTAGATTAAATTGATACTAGCTCATGTTGCAAGAGTGAACTGCGATTAGGGGCTCCAGAGAAGAGAAGGCAGTAATAAAGAACAATGAGCTGTGATATTTATCAAGGTGGAGTAGGTTCCAATGAAGGAGGGAAGTCAAGGTTGGAATGAGGAAGAACAGAGAGTGCATATAGAGAGTAGAGTGTTGAGTAAAATAGCAACCATATCCTTTACAGTCAGTCTTTTTTTCATCATCCGATGCCTGCCACACAGTTTTCATGTAAAAGTCCGAGTTAGCATGTTAAAGGTTGTCTTAGTAGAATAGTTAATCCAGCACAAAAATTAGAAACATGAGTCTGAATGGTGAGTGTAGGAGAACAATATCAATAACACAGATCTATTGACTTGTTCTCATCCATAAAGAGCCTGATACAAACAAAATGTTCTGCCCCACAAACACGGGTGGATTGAAATCATCGCCCTCAGGCTTCCTTAGCCAGGACTTTAGAATCTTACACCATCGATGTGTGCTGCGTCTCCGAAACGCGCATACAAGATCCGAGTAGTGTCATTCATTTGACCGCACCTAATCATAATAAAGTTTTATCTCGATACACTCTCCGTGTGTCTGGAAGCCCTGATGCTGCTTCCCGTGGCCTCGCTGGAGTAGGTATAGCATTAAGTCCTAGGGCAGAACTAGCTCTTTTAGACTGGATCCCAGTAGACAGTCGTCTATGCGCTGTCCGATTAAACGGATCAGTAAGGACCCGGAAAGATAGGGAAACTCGTCGTTGCCTCTTCGTCGTCTCTGCCTACTCTCCCACTGACTGCAGCTCAGACGATATAAAAGATGAGTTCTACAGGAAACTTTCTGACCTTCTCCGAGAAGCTAGGCGTTCTGATGTAGTGATAGTGGCTGGTGACTTTAATGCTCAAGTAGGTAAACTAAGTGAAAGGGAAAGACACCTGGGTGGATCTTATGGTGTCATGGCGGAAAGAACAGATAATGGAGACCATCTGTTGCAGCTATGCTCAGATAACCGCCTATTTCTTGCAAATACTAACTTTAAGCATAAGGAAAAACATCTTTTGACCTGGCGACCCCCGAATTCGTCCCAACGTTGGACCCAATTAGATCACATCGCTATCAGCCACCGATGGAGGGGCTCGATAGAAGACTGTCGCTCATTCTGGAGCACATGTTTAGATTCAGATCATGCTCTAGTGCGAGCACGTATCTGTCTGCGTCTTACTGGACGTAGGAAAAACACTGCAGGGAAACCTCTAAGGGTTCTACTTAATGATAAGCAAGCTAAGAATATATTTCAGGAACAACTGGAAAAACAGTTAGGTAGCCATGTAAGTTATGCCCACCCCGAAGCAGCGTGGAATGACATCCGAAAAGCTGTGGAATCAGCAGTGATATCCGCTAGTAAGGTAAACCATAACGTTAGGGAGAAACAGTGGATCTCGGCTGCATCTACTGCACTGATAGATGCTCGAAAACTCATCCCTCATGGCTCTGAACATAACGAAGAGCGGAGTCAACTTAAGCGCAGGCAAATAAGAAGCATACGCAATGATCGTGAACAGTGGTGGGTAGCGAAAGCAAGAGAGATGGAAAAGGCAGTGGCAATAGGTAACAGTAGGCAGCTATTCAGACTCGTTAAAGAAACCGGTATTAGGAACCCGAATATCAGTGAAACCATCTCAGATAAAGATGGGCATATTATTCATTCTCAATCCAGGAGATTGGATCGATGGGCAGAACACTTTAGGGATCAGTTCAACTGGCCTTCAGACACACTTCAATTACCCACGATCCCCAGTCGTCCTGAATGGAAAATTGATGTAAGTGCTCCAACCCTCTGTGAGGTTGAAAAAGCTATAGGAAATCTGAAGCGAGGGAGAGCAGCAGGCCCTGACAGATTGACCCCTGAGATTTTTAAGGATGGTGGTCCAGTACTAGCAGTGAGATTGACTGAGGTCTTAGGTAGAATCTGGGAACTGGACGTAATTCCATCTGACTGGTCCCAATCACTGATTGTGCCAGTCTATAAGAAAGGAAAAAAGTCCTCCAGTGACAATCAGAGAGGGATCAGTTTGACTAATATAGTGCCTAAAATATTAGCTTCAATAATACTTGGACGCATAACCAAAGCTCGTGAAGAGCATACTAGAGAAAACCAGGCTGGTTTTCAACCTGGACGTGGTTGAATAGACCAGATATTCAACCTACGTCAGGTTCAGAACATAGACACAAATTAAGACGTCCCACAATAGTGGTATTTCTTGACCTTAAGGCGGCATTTGACTCCGTTGATCGTGAGGTTCTATGGCAGTGTTTGTCAGTGAAAGGAGTACCAAAGAAGTACATTAACCTCATAAATGCTCTCTACTCGAACACAACTAGTCGAGTTAGAGCCTATGGCGAACCGTCATTAAAACTGACTACCTCAATGGTGTTCGTGAGGGCTGTCCACTCTCTCCATTCTTGTTTAACTTTGTCGTTGACGTGCTATTAGAAATATCACTTTCATCATCTCAATCTCCAGGAGTTGAACTTTTACCAGGAGGCTCACTTGTTGACTTAGAATACACTGACGACATAGTTTTATTTGGTGAAGACACTGACAAAATGCAGAGTCTTCTGACCGCTATAAGCAACTATGCAGGCATGTTCGGGATGCAATTCTCTCCCTCGAAGTGCAAAATGTTACTTCAGGATTGGGTGGCATCGGCACCTGAACTAATGATAGGGAGTGAAGTAGTTGAGCGTGTAGACCGCTTCACTTATCTTGGGAGTCTCATCAGCCCTTGTGGTCTGGTGTGTGACGAAATCTCAGTACGGATACAGAAGGTTCGTCAAGCTTTTGTCAACTTGCGTCATTTATGGCGAAGGCGAGATGTCCGTCTGGCAACAAAAGGACGTGTTTACTGTGCAGCAGTTCGTTCCGTCCTAGTTTATGGCAGCGAAACATGGCCGGTAAGAGTGGAGGATATTCGTGGGCTACTATTGTTCGATCATAGGTGTCTTTGAAGCATTGCTCGTATATCCTGGGACCACCCGGTAAGTAATGCAGTTGTTAGGAAACGGGCACTAGGTAAGGATGGCAAATCGATTGATGAAGTAGTGAAACTTCATCAGTTGAGATGGCTGGGATACGTGTTACGTATGCCCAACCACCGACTGCTCCGACGTGCAATGTTTCATGGTGTAGGAGTAGGTTGGAAGAAAGCTAGGGGCAGCCAGACCAAAACGTGGCACAAATCCATGAAGTCACAGACAAGTGGACTGAGCCATGTTGGTAGGTGTAGACTACCTGCTTGAGATTCGCGAGATGATAGCAATCGATGGTTAGAGACCTTGAATGACATGGCTCAAAATCGTTTGAAATGGCGTAGGTGCATCCACTCTTTGTGTTCTACCAAAAACTCTAATCTTCTGGATTCTTTATGTCTCTTTCGTTTTTCTTCTTTCAAATTTGTTTCATTGAATTATACTCCTTCAATAACATCAAACCCTAATCTTTCCGATTACTGTTTATACTCTTACTACTTCTACCACTATGGGATTTGAATGGACAACTGCATCTCTGTGTTAATGTGCTATGGCAAATCGAACTGATGTAGGTACGGACGAAGTTCTGCGTTGTGACTGACTGACAAATGTGCATGTGGTAGTATATGAGCAGATCCCAGTTTTCTAGGAGACAGCGCGTGTTGTCATGAGTTCAGCTTGAGTTTGAATGCGACCATCAAGGTGTACCTCATTAGAGAAGCGCATAACAAGCACTCAGATGTAGGCCTTGTTAAAAGAAAAAAGAAAAGACCGCTGGAAATATACAAATTATATGCAACAGTAAGGTATGTGAATCGATGGTTTCAGTGCTGAATTCACATATCAAAGCAAAACAGACCATGGGGGAGCAAAGCATAACAGGTGTAGATGGTGTGATCAAGAGATATAATAAGGTAAATGATTTGCTTACAATTACACCAAGAAAAAGAAAAGTAAGGAATTAGAGTTATAAATTCACATGTGACGCTAAATCGGACTGCAGGAGGAAAAGATTTTAGTATTTAAAACTCCACTGCTTGTTAAGATAAACCTCGCACTTGAGGGTTTCCACACTTTAGATGTTCAGAGCGAAACAATCCTCAAACCATTCAGTGTGATAAAAGAAAGTTCTCCACAGGGTTAAAGCTGTGTTATACAAGTGCTCGCAGCCTACAAAATAAAATTGCGGTGCTCAAGATAACGGTGGACATAGAAATCTCAGATGGATTCAGTCTTTACACACAGTGATAATGTTGGTCAAATGACTTTCGTATCACTTCTAGGGAGAAGTCATCTTATTGAAGTCACTACAGGTCGGTACGAAATAAGTAGATAATTACTTTCCAAGAAGCTCAGAGAAAATATGAAATTCAGTTAGCCGGTTCCAGTCGGACCTTGGTGTGACAGTGATTCATGATACAAAGAGTGGCTTGAAATGATAGACCACTTTATCACACAACCTAAAAGACTATTCTCATACACAAATTACAAAACAAGAACACAACATTGGGTTTGCAAGCTAATTAAGGAAGGGTGTGGATCTGAAATGTTGTAAGATGATCAGGAGAAATCAGATGTCATGGCAAACTACTTCGGAAAAGTTTTCACTCAGGAGCCTCTTCTAGATGAAGAACCAGATGAAAATACAAGGTCAATGGACAGTCTGCTCACTGTGGACTCCTGTGCAGACGATATCCTTAATGCGCTTAGCACCTTAGACACGGAAAAGTCAACAGAGCCGGATGAACCACACCCCAAAATCTTAAGACCAATTGCTCAATATATTGTGATTAGCTGATCTTAAGAGTGGTTGATACCTATCGACACGGCAAAGTATGTCTACATGGACTTTGAGGATACAAAGGTAAATAGGTACAACATAGAGGAAGTGCCTACACCCATGGGCCGGTTCCACTCGGATCTTGGTGTGACAGTGATTCATGATACAAAGAGTGGCTGGAAATGATAGACCACTTTATTCTGTCCTACCTCAGATTAAGAGGTGATCCGATTTTGATGTGTAGATTACCGAAAAATGATTTTACACCATATATATCGTTTCTTTTTCGGGATAACTCATAGGACACAGCAGGTGAGTAGATAAGTAATGAATGAACAAAACACCCCGTGGCAAATAAGTTTTCACGCTGAGTCGTCAGTTCTTGGAACCTGTTGCCCGAAGCAGTAGTGTCCGCACACTAAATTGACTCATTGAAGAGAAGGCTGGACACTGACGGAAGCATACAAGAAAAGGGATAACACGGGGCCGTAGGTCTTTTGTCCTTACTACTGAATCTGGGTCTGAATTTTAAACGGTTGTATGTGTCAACCTTAAAGGACAATCAAAAGCAGGTGGATCGGGGTGTTCACCCCCAACTTGACGTGGACGCTCATTGTGATTCCTTACTGCACATGATCTTATGTCCTACAAAGCAGTCTGTTCCGCAAACAGTCCCCAAAAACTAGAAGCAACTTACAGCCATCAAGAGGAAACTTGACATATTCCTAGGAATCTAGGACAATATCTCACTACAATTCGCTAATTCATTTTTTCCCTTCCATCAGGAATGTACCTGGGTTCCAACCTGGAAGAATCGATAACTCACTGCTACTAGATACAGAAGCCCTTTAGGTGAGAGCTTCGTCAATTTCCTCCTTAGCTATTCAAACCACTTAATTATTTGTTTGATTGTTCTACTGATTAGAACTCAATATAAACGGAGGGATTATCGATTTCAGCTGTTTTCGGGGAAGCAGTTGTCGCATCTGGAATGGGTTTCCTAAAGTTTAGTTTGTTCGTTATGAACACTATCTGTCTAGTAATAATATTCGATTTTTTTTCTATTTTACCGCTTTTAGATGTGTTCCCTTGTGCTAGTCGGAACTGGTGCCTATATGCAAGTTAAATCCCGTCAATATGGAGACAACTTACACATTGTTTGGTACGCAGTACCCATCACTGTAATTGCCATTGGAGTGATAGTTCTTATAGTGAGTTTCCTTGGCTGTTGTGGGGCTATAAAGGAGAATGTTTATATGCTGTATTTGGTAGGTTACTTTAGCTAAGGGACAGCATGTAGTATTCTTTCCTCCTCATCGTACTTCTGGTTGCTGAATTGGCCGTTTCCATAATTGCGTTTGTTTACAGGCAAGAGATTGATAAGGGACTTGAGAAATCGATGACTAGTGCTATTAACAATTCAACCAAAGAGGTAACTGTATTCATGGATTTGGTTCAATCATCAGTAAGTCACAACTGCATCTTAACTGCTGTAGTTCCAATGTTGTGGAGTCAAAGGTCCTAAAGACTATATAGAAGGAGCCCCACAGTCGTGCAAAAAGGAGAAAACAGTATTCAATGAAGTAAGTTTTGGTTATTCCAAATACATGTTTGTCAAAAACTGATTATTGAATGTGGTATAGTCGACTGTGTTTAAGATATTAGCGGTGAATCGACATATTATTTGTAGATATGAATATGCCGTTAATAAATGTTTTCCATCAGGATTTGACTGTCAATCTATAAGTGACTCAACCTTCCTATCAACAGTTTTGTGAGTTTATTCCATGCTACTTTGATGTAACTGGATGTTTAGAAGTGTATTTTTTATTTGTAAAGCCATTAGATTCTGTGTATATCATTCATAATGTTCCTGTGTATAGGTGTTAAATTTAACCTGGTTACTGCAGACCTGATGAAGTACAAGATAACTGATGAAAACTAGATTGTAGCAAAAAGCTGATAACGATTAAGTCAAGACTCAAGCTTGAGTCATCACATGACCCATAGTAATCGCCACCAAGATTAATATGTATATAGAGACCGAATTATTTGGGGAGCGTTTATGTTCCCTTAGATGTTGGTCTAAACTTCATGCTGAGGATGTCGGTTACCCTTTGAATATTGCACAAGACTGTGGTCATTGTGTGCCCATAATTTGATGTTCAGTAAGGCCCAGTCCTTTTCTTGGCTATTTTCACTCCTTTATAATACCCAAAACAATCTTATTGATTCTAGTTTAAGATTTTTAATGGACATTTTGTTAAATGTTGCTGAATGTCCTACTCTTCTGCTTACGATTTGTCTCGCTAGGTCTCCCTAATCGTCTAAAGCAACGTTAACGCAAAGAAAATACTAAGTGTTTCAGCGCTTTTACTGAGAATGTAAAAGGGTTTAGTGTGCTTCGTTATACTGGTGATGCGAACCGACAGTTGTTTAAATACAACAGTGTGTTTGAGTATATTCAGCTTTTATGGAGTTGGTATTGATGAAATACTCGTTTGCTAGTGATCGGATCGCACATGGGCACTATTTGTAAACTACAGGTATAGGTAAACCTAACATATATCACAAATGTTTCTACTACTCATCCATATATCGTATGGTAACAATTTCCCTTTCTTCGTTCATAGGGGTGTGTGTCTGTTTTTGCAGCATTCTTAAAACGCAACCTGATAATAATTGGTCTTGTCGCATTTGGTGTATGCTTCCTTCAGTTGTTAACCGCTATCATAACTTGGTTTATGGTTCACCAAATAAAGGAGTACGAAATTGTGTAATCACTACAAAAAAGACGGTTTGTGGTATCTATCCGTTCCATTTTGTTTCCCTTTGGCTTTCATTAAACGATGCTTTTTCAATGCCTAAAGTATTGTGTGTTGGTTAAAAATCGTGTATTCAACTTCGTTTACGATAAATATCAGCTCCACTGAAACACGATATTGACATTCTCATTGTTTCATTTAAGTCATTCTTATGCAAATTGAACTGCGTTGATCCCCTTGTATATTTATAACCAGAAACTAACAATAATTCATTTCAATTTTAACTACATATCTTGTAACCTTCAAATATTTACGTTTCCCGAATGTCCAAAATCAGATAACCGATATCTTCTTTAATTTGTAAACTACCTTAATTTCTATTAATTTACAGAAAAATATTTATATAAAATGTAACTATTCAGTTATCTTCCTAAATGATCGCGATGCAGCGAAACGAAATAAATTAAGCAAATAATCGCTACGGTAATTACCTAATAAATAAATATCTTCCTTCAGCACAACTGAACCTCCTGTTTGACAGAAATGGGGCTTAAGAATGAGTGAGGATATCATAGTGTTTGTGCATCTACTTGACATTTAGTTCTCTCTACTTGGCAGCACATGGTTGTTTAAATGGTCAAAATACTTGTCGGTTTGATGTCTAAAACATAGTCTTCAATTCCTCAAGCCGATTCTGTGGTTGGTGTCTATGACATTTGTAACAAATTAGTAGGCTTGAACCGGTGTATTTATTTTATCAGTCGTTATTTTGCATGCATATCAGGTAAACAGTTGTGTACTGTAGTTCACAGTATCTCCACTTTGGTTATTGTGCTTGATTTGAAACCAGTAACCATTCCACAAAATCCCACTGAACTTAAAGGTTACCTCGTGAAGACCCTATCAATAGTAGTAGTGCTGTGTACCGATTGAATGAGGATACTGACCTATGCTTGGTTATTAAGTGTATATGTCTGTGTAATGAATAACACTCCCAGAATTCCAAGCATTTTCCTGTATTCGAAGTGATCAGTGATAGTGTTCATTGTAGCAATTGCACAAATACTCCTCTTATTTCGGTGTGCGGTTGGTTATTGTAGGTACAGTGAACCCAGAAATGACATTTTCGTAAGTAGTGTTGAGTAGATAGTCAACTTCAAATTAGTTTTTCGACTGAGTGGAGATCTTTGTGTATGGTGGATTTGATCTTAATCACATGGTAACGTTAGTTGGATGGTGTTCCTGAAGTGAGTGAATTTCGTGGTGTAGGTTTCATCCTAAACATTCCCTACCTTTTGTGCGAAATCCCAAAATTAATGCCAACCAGCTTCATGTTGTTGTGAGGTGCGTTTATTAATTCGTTGTATAACGACACGAAGGTGAATTCGTATATTTGGGAAATTTATGAATGATCGAATATTGTTGAAATGTACTTTCGAAAACGCTAGACAACTCAGACTTCGTTATTTCAGATTGTAAATTTTCATTCAGTTAGAATTATCATTGGTCTTGGTTACCTCAAGTGTTGTCCGTGAGGGCTGTCCACTCTCTCCATTCTTGTTTAACTTTGTCGTTGACGTGCTATTAGAAATATCACTTTCATCATCTCAATCTCCAGGAGTTGAACTTTTACCAGGAGGCTCACTTGTTGACTTAGAATACACTGACGACATAGTTTTATTTGGTGAAGACACTGACAAAATGCAGAGTCTTCTGACCGCTATAAGCAACTATGCAGGCATGTTCGGGATGCAATTCTCTCCCTCGAAGTGCAAAATGTTACTTCAGGATTGGGTGGCATCGGCACCTGAACTAATGATAGGGAGTGAAGTAGTTGAGCGTGTAGACCGCTTCACTTATCTTGGGAGTCTCATCAGCCCTTGTGGTCTGGTGTGTGACGAAATCTCAGTACGGATACAGAAGGTTCGTCAAGCTTTTGTCAACTTGCGTCATTTATGGCGAAGGCGAGATGTCCGTCTGGCAACAAAAGGACGTGTTTACTGTGCAGCAGTTCGTTCCGTCCTAGTTTATGGCAGCGAAACATGGCCGGTAAGAGTGGAGGATATTCGTGGGCTACTATTGTTCGATCATAGGTGTCTTTGAAGCATTGCTCGTATATCCTGGGACCACCCGGTAAGTAATGCAGTTGTTAGGAAACGGGCACTAGGTAAGGATGGCAAATCGATTGATGAAGTAGTGAAACTTCATCAGTTGAGATGGCTGGGATACGTGTTACGTATGCCCAACCACCGACTGCTCCGACGTGCAATGTTTCATGGTGTAGGAGTAGGTTGGAAGAAAGCTAGGGGCAGCCAGACCAAAACGTGGCACAAATCCATGAAGTCACAGACAAGTGGACTGAGCCATGTTGGTAGGTGTAGACTACCTGCTTGAGATTCGCGAGATGATAGCAATCGATGGTTAGAGACCTTGAATGACATGGCTCAAAATCGTTTGAAATGGCGTAGGTGCATCCACTCTTTGTGTTCTACCAAAAACTCTAATCTTCTGGATTCTTTATGTCTCTTTCGTTTTTCTTCTTTCAAATTTGTTTCATTGAATTATACTCCTTCAATAACATCAAACCCTAATCTTTCCGATTACTGTTTATACTCTTACTACTTCTACCACTATGGGATTTGAATGGACAACTGCATCTCTGTGTTAATGTGCTATGGCAAATCGAACTGATGTAGGTACGGACGAAGTTCTGCGTTGTTACTGACTGACTGATCATTGGTCTTTGCCACTATTCGAACAGACAACGCAACTTATAAGTTGTATTTGTACGAGGGTCGTTGTTGTTGTCCATTTAGCCAAACTGAATTAGACTGAACAGGTTTCGAATGTGGAACCGAACAGTTTGACCTTTATAGCTGTCATCCCACTAATACCATGCTTGAGATCTTCAGTTTTGACTACCAGTAGTTGATTAGATGAAATTGGTTAGTGGGGATTTCTGAAGATACTTGTTACATTGTAAAACAGTGTGTTGACTCTTGATGATAAAGGCTATGAGTTCGCTTCCTGACACATTCAGTTTTCGGAACACATTGGTTTCGTTGAACGGGACCTTTGAAATGTCGTCTTGGGTAGATGGGTCGATTTGTGCATTGTTTGTGATTGACCTGAAACATTGTCATTTGAGGAATTATTGTTGATTTCGATATTGAAGGGTGTCCACCAATCCACTTGATGGTAATTTCTATGTTTCTATTCTGTGAGCGAATTGTCAAATCCTTCATGCAAGTGGTTTAGCCAATTTATCAAGGTAACTGTGACGTTAATGTACCATCAAACTGTATGAGTGAATTCATTGAAAGCTGATGTTGGCTTCAACTCATCTTGCTGTACACAAGTACATCTTGTCGAAGAGTGCCAATTGAGGCGAAAGTGAGTTGCAGATCATCCTGTTGTCTATGGCAAAGCACTTGGAATGGTTTAGATAAATTACTAGCCATTTGTCGTATATAAACAATGTATTACGAAAAAACGATCACACAGTATTATCATACATTCTTAATTAATATGAAAAAGTCACTCTGTTCTGGATGTACACCCACCCACACTCGCATGCACACACTCACTACTTACAAATCACGTTGGAACAGAATAGACGACATTCCATCGCCTTTTATGGGTACAATGAACAAATGGATAGTTTATTAATTAAAAATGTAGTGTGAACCAATGTAACATTATCTGGATTCACAAGGTGCGTAAAGAAAACACGGAATATGTAGGTGTTATACACATCTGACGATGTTTTGGAATTCAGTTATAGTTTTGGTAGAAGAGAATATGATCACTGGTCTAGTCGTTTGGCCTATATGAATTATAGAAATAATGAGATATTCACTCCTAATATAGAAGTTACTGATCTTGTAGCAAGTGATTGAGGTAATCTACTTAGAATGACGAGAACGCGATTGGCATTTTGGTAGCTATTGCTATTATAACCAATTGACCAGTGGTTGATTTACTGTAGTTGTTTGTTTCGCCGTTCCGTAAGCACTTTTCATTCCTGTTGTCCGTCTCGTTCGTGCGAACTCTCTTCTTCTCTGCTATTTTGCCTGTACTCTTCGGCACGTCTCGGTATTCTTTCTATTCCACAAGATCTCCAACAGACATATCTTATCTGGACCAAAAACAACCTTATGGTTTTCTTTCAATCGAGGAATCCAAGTCGTAATCTGGCGCATAATCTTATTGTAGTGGTGATCATAGTCATTCACAACTCGACGCCAACTACATCTGCTAAGCCATATTTTCGTACACATTTCAACCTTTGACAAATATTCCAAAGAAGATTACATCAGTGAGTCTGTTATTTATCTATCCACTTTCGTTGCACCTATTCCTATTTATATTTTTAATATATTATATTCCAACAACAACCCAATATGGTGGATAACGATAAGAATAACATTAGTATAATAGACTCAGAAGTACGGCCAATCAGTTTTCGACCGGTTCTCTTTATCTCCCACGATCAAGAAGTTTGGTTCGCAGCACTGGAGTCTCAATTCGAGATCCGCCGCATAACGAATCAACAGCAAAGGTATGTCTACGCTCTGGAAACGCTGCCTGGGGATCATTTAACTGCTGTCCGCGAGGTCGTCCTCAATGCAAACATACCTGACGTCTACGACCGTATCAAAGAGGCAATCCTCGGACATTTCCTCCCGTCAAGGAAAGAACGATTGAGAATTTTGTTAGTACGTCACCCCATGGGTGATGCTAAACCGAACCACCACCTTACGCGCCTGAAATTTTTTGCAGGAAATACGGCAGTTGATTCTGAGATTGCTAACGAACTGTGGCTCGAATCCTTTCCAGCAAATGTACAACCAACCATTACGACTGTGCTCAAGGGCACCTCACTGAACCAGGTGGCCCTCATTGCAGATAAGATACTGGCACGAACTAGCATCCGAGACAACTACCTAGTTGCCTCAACATCACGCTCAAATATTGACCTCGAAGCTAGTCGTCATAGGGATAGGGATAAGTGTATCCACACCCTTCTCAGTTACTGAGACCGATCCAATGTGCCAAAACTCCACGTCTCCCAACCCAGGTCACGCTCTCGTAAAGCTGTAACAACTCGCCCTAAGCGGGCATCTTACAAGCCATGCCAAAAGGCGACTTCGGAAACGAGTTCTGGTTGGTGCTGATTCCACCGTGCCTTCGGGGACGGTGCCCGCCATTGTCGGGCTCTCTGCTCATACAATGCGGGAAACTCCCGAGCAGGCGAGTAAATGCGGCCGTATTCTCCGGCCCTTCACCTTCTGTTGGCCGTTTATTTTATGTGCACGATTATCATAGTACCGCTAGGTACCTAGTGTATACAGGTGCCCAAGTTTCTGTCGTACCTATTGGTAACAGTAAGCCTGAATCTACGATGCTTCGACCACGCGCTAGGAATGGCTCAGTTATTCCTACTTATGGTATACGACAACTTACGGTCAACCTGAACAACCGACGACAGTATCTGTGAACGTTCATCATTGCCAATGTTACCGC